AAGGTCTTACTCACATCTGTCCTATTAGGTCCTAATCTATCGATTTTACATGACTTGGAATAGAGATATGCATCTGTTGGTCACAGATACAATGGATCAGAAAACCAGTCAGTACCACCATTTGCCTCATGCAGCGCGACACATCTCCTTCGCATAGAGTTGATCAGGCTGTTGATTGTGGCCTGTGGAATGTTGTCCCACTCCTCTTCAATGGCTGATGCGAAGTTGCTGGATATTAGCGTGAACTGGAACACACTGTCGTACACATCGATCCAGAGCATCCCAAACATGCTCAATGTGTGACATGTCTGGTGAGTATGCAGGTCATGGAAGAACTGGGATATTTTCAGCTTCCAGGAATTGTGTTCAGATCATTGCGACATGGAGCCCTGCATTATCATGCTGAAACATGAGGTGACGGCGGTAGGATCTCGTCACGGTATCTCTGTGCATTCAAATTGCCATCGATAAAAGGCAATTGTGTTCGTTGTCCGTAGCTTATGCCTGCCCATACCATAACCCCACCGCCACCATGGGGCACTCTGTTCACATCAGCAAACCGCTCTCCCACAATGTATCTGCCACCTGCCCAGTAAAATTGGAATCGGGATTCATCCGTGAAAAGCATACTTCTCCAGCGTGCCAGTGGTCATCGAAAATGAGCATTTGCCCACTGACGTCGGTCACGACGCCGAACTGCAGTCCGTTCAAGACCCTGGTTAGGACGACGACCACACAGATGAACTTCCCTGAGACGGTCTTCTGACAGTTTGTGCAGAAATTCTTCAGTTGTGCAAACCCACAGGTGAAGAAGCCGGATGTGGAGGTCCTGGGCTGGCGTGGTTACACGTGGTCTGCGGTTGTGAGGCCGGTTGGACGTACTCTCTTGGTAAATAGTATGGTCTACAGCTTATCATGAGATATTCTAACTCAGGTGAGCACAACATCGAGACTGTAATATTTAATATTCGGGATCGTGCACCAGTTTTTGTTAACAAAGTAACACCCTTGATTATTCAAGAAAGAGATTAGCACTTTCACTGGCATGAAACAGAAAGATTCTATAGATGTGGTTGAAATATAGTTGTTTCAGAGGTTGCTGCTCCTCAGGATCCCCTATTGGACTGAGTGTCGAGGACCAAATGGTTGTCAGTCATATCAGACTCCTCTTTCATGGAATGTTTTGACTGGGCGTCTCCAGTCTCCATTCAGATATGCATTGTGCTTTCATGTACATATTTGACATCCCGTCCCACCAATTATTTTTTTTTAAAAACGTGATTTTCACTCCGTCAGTGTTAAACCGTGGTGTTGTGACATAGAGTATCTCTACGTTGTATACCTAGTCATTATATGAGATGGCACTGACGACAACATATTGGGTTTTGTGGTAACAGCTACACCGTCCACATTTCCCAATAATACATTTTTTTTTTCTTTCACCAACTGAAGGAAAGTGTCTGCAATGACCTAAACAGGATGATACGTTCAGTTCCGTCCCAGGATGGCGGAAGACCTCTCTAGCTGTGCGATCTTCTATAAAATAGTTGCCAGAAAAGACACTGCCTCCTGAAAAGGTGCTGTTCAGAGATGTCTTATTTGATTTACAGTGGATGTAAAAGTAGAGTGTTCTTTATTGGTAGGCGGAAGGTGTACTGTAGTTTATTAGACACATGGGGGTTGCCTATAGACAGTAATCGGTATGTACAGTAAAAAGACACTCTCAAACGGTTAGATGCTACAGACTTTCTAGATTGATCAGGGGCAGGTGCAGTGCATTATACCGTGAATAGTTTTACATTCAATCTTTTAATTAAGAAATTGGTCCATTCCAGAACACTCCAGAAGTTGATCCATTCTTTTTTTTATTTTTATTGCCAGACATTAAAGACGTAAATACTCTTATTGTTTAGTTTATAAGTATTAGATTTATAAGTATTTATACGTATGGTGTGTGTGTGGATCATGTATTAGACCCAAAAAACAACAACGTTGTGCTCAATTCTAAACAAAAGACAACACATGCACATACAAACACTGTGCCAGTGTGACGATTTTAAAGGGGTACTTCAGGATTTTGTCAATGAAGCCCTTTATCTATTTCCCCAGAGCCAGATAAACTCAATGATACCATTTGTATGTATCTGCGTCCAGTACGTGGGAAGTTAGAAGTTAGTTTTGCAGGTCAATCCTAACTAGCTTAGCACAAAGACTGGAAGTCTTCACGTACAGCTAAGATAGTTGGCATTGGCTCGCGAAACCACCTCTGACTTCCTTCTATATTGGACGCAGATACAGTGTCTTGGGAAAGTATTCAGACCCCTTGACCTTCTCCACATTTTTTTTTACGTTACAGCCTTATTCTAAAATGGATTAAATAAAACAATTTCCTCAGCAATCTACACACAATTCCCCATAATGACAAAGCAAAAACAGGTTTTTTGAAATGGTAGCTAATTTATTAAAAATAAAAAACGGAAATATAACATTTACATAAGTATTCAGATCCTTTGCTCAGTACTTTGTTGAAGCACCTTTGGAAGCGATTTCAGCCTCGAGTCTTCTTGGGTATGACACTACAAGCTTGGCACACCTGCGGGCTGTCATGTGCCTTTTACTGAGGAGTGGCTTCAGTACATTTTTGCAAATGTATTACAAATAAAAAACAGAAATTACTTATTTACATAAGTATTCAGACCCTTTATTCCTTCGACCTCATGGCTTGGTTTTTGCTCTGATATGCACTGTCAACTGTGGGACCTTATATAGACAGGTGTGTGCTTTTCCAAATCATGTCCAATCAATTTAATTTACCACAGGTGGACTCCAATCAAGTTGTAGAAACATCTCAAGGATGATCAATGGAAAGAAGATGCACCCGAGCTCAATTTCGTGTCTCATAATTGTCAGTAGAGCGCCGAGACAGGATTGTGTCGAAGCACAGATCTGGGGAAAGGTACCAAAACATTTCTCCAGCATTGAAGGTCCCCAAGAACACAGTGGCCTCCATCATTCTTAAATGGAAGAAGTTTATACCCACCAAAACTCTTCCTAAGCTGGCCGCCTGGCCAAACTGAGCAATCGGGGGAGAAGGGCCTTGGTCAGGGAGGTGACCAAGAACCCGATGGTCACTCTGACAGAGCTCTAGAGTTCCTCTGTGGAGATGGGAGAACCTTCCAGAAGGACAACCATCTCTGCAGCACTCCACCAATCAGGCCTTTATGGTAGAGTGGCCAGACGGAAGCCACTCCTCAGTAAAAGGCACATGATAGCTTTCTTGGAGTTTGCCAAAAGGCACCTAAAGACTCTCAGACCATGAGAAACAAGATTCTCTGTTCTGATGAAACCAAGATTGAACTCTTTGGCCTGAATGCCAAGCGTCACGTCTGGAGGAAACCTGGCACCTTCCCTACAGTGAAGCATGGTGGTGGCATTATCACGCTGTGGGGATGTTTTTCAGCAGCAGGGACTGGGAGACTAGTTAGGATCGAGGCAAAGATGAACCGAGCAGAGTACAGAGAGATCCTTGATGAAAACCTGCTCCAGAGCACTCAGGACCTCAGACTGGGGCGAAGGTTCACCTTCCAACAGGTCAACAACCCTAAGCACACAGCCAAGACAACGCAGGAGTGGCTTCGGGACAAGTCTCTGAATGTCCTTGAGTGGCCCAGTCAGAGCCCGGACTTGAACCCGATCGAACATCTCTGTTGAGACCTGAAAATAGCTGTGCAGCAACACTCCCCATCCAACCTGACAGAGCTTGAGAGGATCCGCAGAGAAGAATGGGAGAAACTCCCCAAATACAGGTGTGCCAAGCTTGTAGCATCATACCCAAGAAGACTTGAGGCTGTAATCACTGCCAAAGGTGCTTCAACAAAGTACTGAGTAAAGGGTCTGAATACTTATATAAATGTGATATTTCAGTTTTTTATTTTTAATAAATTAGCAAACATTTCTAAAAAACGGTTTTTGCTTCGTCATTATGGGGTACTGTGTGTAGGGTCAGTAGCTATATACAGGGACAGTTCCAGGGTCAGTAGCTATATACAGGGACAGTTCCAGGGTCAGTAGCTATATACAGGGACAGTTCCAGGGTCAGTTCCAGTACCATATTTACAATGTGCAGGGATACTGGAGTGATGGAGGTAGATATGTAAGGTGACTAGGCAACAGGATATAAGATAAACAGAGCAGCAGCAGCGTATATGAAGATTGTATGTGAGTGTGTGTGCGTGTGTGTAGAGTCAGTATTAATGAAGTGTGTGTGAAGTGTGTTTGTGAGTGTGTGTGTCTGCGTGTTAGTGTCAGTGAGTGTGTAGAGTCCTGTGAGTGTGTAGAGTCCTGTGAGTGTGTAGAGTCCTGTGAGTGTGTAGAGTCCTGTGAGTGGTGTAGAGTCCTGTGAGTGTGTAGAGTCCTGTGAGTGTGTAGAGTCCTGTGAGTGTGTAGAGTCCTGTGAGTGTGTAGAGTCCTGTGAGTGTGTAGAGTCCTGTGAGTGTGTAGAGTCCTGTGAGTGTGTAGAGTCCTGTGAGTGTGTAGAGTCCCTGTGAGTGTGTAGAGTCCTGTGAGTGGTGTGTAGAGTCCTGTGAGTGTGTAGAGTCCTGTGAGTGTGTAGAGTCCTGTGAGTGTGTAGAGTCCTGTGAGTGTGTGTGTGTGTGTGTGTGTGTGTGTGTGTGTGTATGAAGTGTGTAGTGTGCATAGAAAATACAAATAAAATACAAGGGTCAATTCAGGTACTGGTACTGTATCTGTGACCAACAGATGCATGTCTGTATTCTCAGTCGTGAAATCCATAGATTAGGGCCTAATGAATTTATTTCAATTGACTGATTTCCTTATATGAACTGTAACTGGGTCAATTATTTGAAATTGTTGCGTGTCTCCCTGAATAAAAAACATCTCTCTCATTGATTCACATGTTTGAAACAGGGCTTTCCTTTTCCCTCCTTAATTCTTGCATCCTCCACTTTTGAAACGACAGAGCACGTACCCAAGCAGGTGTATTATGGTGGTCTGTCCGGTCTCTGGCTGTCTGGCTGGCTGTCTGGCTGGCTCTGTTGGTCTGGCTGGCTCTGTTGGTCTGGCTGGCTCTGTCGGTCTGGCTGATTATTTTGGTCTGGCTGGCTCTGTCTGTCTGGCTGGTTCTTTTGGTCTGGCTGGTTCTTTTGGTCTGGCTGGCTCGGTTGGTCTGGCTGGCTCAGTTGGTCTGGCTGTCTCTGTGGCTGTGGACACTGACTGCCCAGGCTCAACCTCCTGCTCTAAAAAATACAAATACACACTGATTTATTCCTCTATTTCACTGGTCAAGTTGGACATAATAATATTAAGTTAAATCACATACTCTATAAATAAAATGTCTTATGGCACATTTTCATTTGAAACAGCATTTATTTTTCAAAAATAAATATTTTGGACATCAGTTAAATTACTGGAGAGAATAAAATTAAAGTGTTTGCAACTCTCTTCGTGAATTGCAGTATGTCATTTATTCAAATACATGCTTGTTTAGCAACTGACCCAGTTTTCTTGAAGAATCCTGTAAGAGTCTGCAGACTTCAACAAGCTTCAAGCTTCATTTTAAGAGGCATCTGCAATACAGGTATTATTGAAGAATGAAGCAGGTGTTAATCATGGTCTTTGCTGCAACACTTTGATTAAATCAGTAGGCCTATATCAATATCTTTAATACAACCATATAAATATCATTAGAGTTTAAAACAATTCAATCTGCCTTCTTTTATCATATTTTGGACCAGAATGAGGCTTTCTCCACTCCCTATTGTTACTGCAGGGAGGATTCACCATCTTCATGGAATGGACCAGAACTGATCTGAAGATAATAACCAATAAATGCAGACTAGGGACCCAAATGAACGTCTCTCTCACCGATGCGACTCGGTTGGCTACACTGACAAGTCACTCCCTTTGGCATCGCTGTCTGACAAGTTCCGACATGGGCTTCATTTTTTTTTGTTTTTTTCACCTTTATTTAACCAGGTAAACCAGTTGAGAACAAGTTCTCATTTACAACTGCGACCTGGCCAAGATAAAGCAAAGCAGTGCAATAAAAACAACACAGAGTTACATATGGGGTAAAACAAAACAAAGTCAAAAATACAACAGAAATACATATATATACAGTGTGTGCAAATGTAGCAAGTTATGGAGGTAAGGCAATAAATAGGCTATAGTGCAAAATAATTACAATTAGTATTAACACTGGAATGATAGATGTGCAAGAGATGATGTGCAAATAGAGATACTGGGGTACAAATGAGCAAAATAAATAACAATATAGGGATGAGGTAGTTGGGCGGGCTAATTTCAGATGGGCTGTGTACAGGTGCAGTGATCGGTAAGGTGCTCTAACAACTGATGCTTAAAGTTAGTGAGGGAGATAAGTGTCTCCAGCTTCAGAGATTTTTGCATTTCGTTCCAGTCACTGGCAGCAGAGAACTGGAAGGAATTGCGGCCAAAGGAGGTGTTGGCTTTGGGGATGACCAGTGAGATATACCTGCTGGAGCGCAGACTACGGGTGGGTGTTGCTATGGTGACCAATGAGCTAAGATAAGGCGGGGATTTGCCTAGCAGTGATTTATAGATGGCCTGGAGCCAGTGGGTTTGGCGACGAATATGTAGTGAGGACCAGCCAACAAGAGCGTACAGGTCACAGTGGTGGGTATTATATGGGGCTTTGGAGACAAAACGGATGGCACTGTGATAGACTACATCCAATTTGCTGAGTAGAGTGTTGGAGGCTATTTTGTAAATGACATCGCCGAAGTCAAGGATCGGTAGGATAGTCAGTTTTACGAGGGCATGTTTGGCAGCATGAGTGAAGGAGGCTTTGTTGCGAAATAGGAAACCGATTCTAGATTTAACTTTGGATTGGAGATTCTTAATGTGAGTCTGGAAGGAGAGTTTACAGTCTAACCAGACACCTAGATATTTGTAGTTGTCCACATACTCTAGGTCAGACCCGTCGAGAGTAGTGATTCTAGTCGGGTGGGCGGGTGCAAGCAGCGTTCGGTTGAAGAGCATGCATTTAGTTTTACTAGTGTTTAAGAGCAGTTGGAGGCTACTGAAGGAGTGTTGTATGGCATTGAAGCTCGTTTGGAGGTTTGTTAACACAGTGTCCAATGAAGGGCCAGATGTATACAAAATGGTGTCGTCTGCGTAGAGGTGGATCTGAGTCACCAGCAGCAAGAGCGACGTCATTGATATACACAGAGAAAAGAGTCGGCCCAAGAATTGAACCCTGTGGCACCCCCATAGAGACTGCCATAGGTCCAGACAACAGGCCCTCCGATTTGACACATTGAACTCTATCTGAGAAGTAGTTGGTGAACCAGGCGAGGCAGTCATTTGAGAAACCAAGGCTATTTAGTCTGCCAATAAGAATGCGGTGGTTGACAGAGTCGAAAGCCTTGGCCAGGTCAATGAAAACGGCTGCACAGTACTGTCTATTATCGATCGCGGTTATAATATCGTTTAGGACCTTGAGCGTGGCTGAAGTGCACCCATGACCAGCTCGGAAACCGGATTGCATAGCGGAGAAGGTACGGTGGGATTCGAAATGGTCGGTGATCTGTTTGTTGACTTGGCTTTCAAAAACTTTTGAAAGGCAGGGCAGGATGGATATGGGTCTGTAACAGTTTGGATCTAGAGTGTCTTTGAAGAGGGGGATGACCGCGGCAGCTTTCCAATCTCTGGGGATCTCAGACGTTACGAAAGAGAGGTTGAACAGGCTAGTAATAGGGGTTGCGACAATTTCGGCGGCTAGTTTTAGAAAGAAAGGGTCCAGATTGTCTAGCCCAGATGATTTGTAGGGGTCCAGATTTTGCAGCTCTTTCAGAACATCAGCTGTCTGGATTTGTGTGAAGGAGAAGCGGGGGGTGCATGGGCAAGTTGCAGCGGAGGGTGCAGAGCTGGTGGCCGGGGTAGTGGTAGCCAGGTGGAAAGCATGGCCAGCCGTAGCAAAATGCTTGTTGAAATTCTCGATTATTGTAGATTTATCGGTGGTGATAGTGTTTCCTAGCCTCAGTGCAGTGGGCAGCTGGGAGGAAGTGCTCTTATTTTCCATGGACTTTACAGTGTCCCAAAACTTTTTGGAGTTAGTGCTACAGGATGCAAATTTCTGTTTGAAAAAGTTAGCCTTTGCTTTCCTAACTGCTTGTGTATATTGGTTCCTAACTTCCTTGAAAAGTTGCATATCGCGGGGGCTATTTGATGCTAATGCAGTACGCCACAGGATGTTTTTGTGCTGGTCAAGGGCAGTCAAGTCTGAGGAGAACCAGGGGCTATATCTGTTCTTAGTTCTGTATTTTTTGAATGGGGCATGTTTATTTAAGATTGAGAGGAAATTACTTTTAAAGAACAACCAGGCATCCTCTACTGACGGAATGAGATCTATATCCATCCAGGATACCTGGGCCAGGTCAATTAGGAAGGCCTGCTCGCTGAAGTGTTTTTGGGAGCGTTTGACAGTGATTAGGGGTGGTCGTTTGACCGCGGACCCGTTACGGACGCAGGCAATAAGGCAGTGATCGCTGAGATCCTGGTTGAAGACAGCGGAGGTGTATTTAGAGGGTAAGTTAGTCAGGATGATATCTATGAGGGTACCCATGTTTACGGATTTAGGGTTGTACCTGGTAGGTTCGTTGATAATTTGTGTGAGATTGAGGGCATCTAGTTTAGACTGTAGGATGGCCGGGGTGTTAAGCATATCCCAATTTAGGTCACCAAGCAGTACGAACTCTGAGGATATTGGGGTATCCTATATATCCTAGGAAAATGCAAAAGAGATATTTGGTTTACTGTCCTGATACGATACCATGGACCAATGGCAAAGGGATATATGAGTTCGACACCTTTTTATAAACTAGTCAAGCTTGCTGTTCGGTCGTCAATCAAAGCACAGTAAATATCAGTCTGACTCCGTGGCTGGATATCCACACAAAATAAAATAAAATGAATGTGCCAGGAAACAATAATTAGGCTAAGTGGATTTCTACTCCTCGTTACAACTTCCATTACATGGGACGTGCAAATTCACTCACAGAGACGTCAAAGGAGCATCATGCTCTCTCTCCCTCCTCTGTTCAAAGAAATTCGACAGCAACCAGCCAACCACATCGCACACAAATCACACTGTACCAGAGATCGTTACATAATGAAGAGATGCTCATGTCTCCGTCCTAACAATGGGAGTCGTTGTCCCAAAGGCAGGAAGACAGGCGACAAGCTTAGGTCTGTTTTATTTAGCCCATGGTTTCATTGGACAGATTTTGGCGAGAGTGAGTCCTCTCGCTTCGCCTCTTCCTCTCTGACTATACGCAGCATTTTAGCAGAGCATAGCTGAGTGGTGCTGAATGTCTTTTAAACAGGGCTTGCTTCTTGACACACCACTCAGAGACACAACATGAATAATGCAAGGTAGAGATACAGTCAGCCTTATGCTCATTCGTCTGTTTGCTGGTGCAGCCAAACAATGCAATTTCTGCTAAATGGTTTTCCTAATCTAGTGCAAGTGGAACACCACATTTTCAAGTCATTAAAGCTATATTAATTCAGAGAGACTACTACGGTTCCAGTTGTTGTTTTAGCACACATTAAATGTTTTGAATTCAGCATATTGGGTATGTAGGGCAATGGTATTTTCTCCTACCTTTATAGCTCATAATATCTTATCTTCAATGAATGTCATGGTAGGTAGTTTGGCTGTTGGCTACTGACAATAAATAAATAATTGATAATAATAAATGAATCATTATTTGTCTCCCAAACCAAATAGGTTTTCTGTTCTGTTGAAAGTCTGTCCCCTCAACCCTTTGGTTGTGGTTAAAACCCCTTTTACCACTCAATCTCAACTGCAATCTTCTATTTATGACCAATATGCAAATCTCCATCTTCTTCTACAAACAAGTGATTAGCATTTCTGGGCACACAATGGTTTAATTTAGGGTTATGAGATATGTGATGGTGGTGATGTGAGAGAGAAGGGGAGGGAGGGGGGACTTAGAGCAAAGTGCAAAAGAGCAACGCACAGCTAGCTAGCTAACGTTCAAAGGATTCATTTTCAGACAGAATATATCCTTCCTCATATGAAATATCAATAACCTTCACTAATAACCTCCAATGGTTAGCAAAGGGTGACAGTTAGCCTAGCGGCTAAGAGCATTGGGCCAGTAACCAAAAGGTTGCTGATTTGAATGACTAAAATGTTAATGTAATGTGATGGGTCAGCCTCATCAATAACCTTCACTAATAACCTCCAATTTGATGGGTTTGCCTCATCAATGACCTTCACTACTATCCTCCAATGTGATGGGTCTGCCTCATCAATAACCTTCATTGTGATGGGTCTGCCTCATCAATAACCTTCACTAATAACCTCCATTGTGATGGGTCTGCCTCTTCAATATGAGTTACAGTAGGAATGATGGCTGCCTTCAAGCCTGACTGACTTCATATCCTTTTGTCCAGCCAGTGGCTTAGCCTCGGAGTACCATATATATATTAGGACAGAATGGACACATTGGTCCCACCAGGCTTGCGAAAGTATTCACCCCCCTTGGCATTTTTCCTATTTTGTTGCCTTACAACCTGGAATTAAAATGGATTTTTTGGGGGGTTTGTATCATTTGATTTACACAACATGTCTACCACTTTGAAGATGCAAAATAATTTTTGTTGTGAAACAAACAAGAAATAAGACAAAAAAACAGAAAACTTGAGCGTGCATAACTATTCACCCCCCCCCTGTGACACTCTGGCTCCGGGACTTTTATATTTGAGCCAGGGTGTATTTGTTTTGTTGGGTTTTGGTTTGGTTATGTTGGGTTTTGGGTGTATTTCTATGTTTGCAGTTCTGTGGGGTTTATGTCTAGGTTTGGTCAATGACTCCCAATCGGAGGTAACGAGTGTCAGCTGTCGGCTCGTTATCTCTGATTGGGAGCCATATTTAATCTGATTGTTTTCCTGTGGGAATTGTGGGTTTTTGTTCCAGGTTCAGTATTTTGTCACTGTTGGACTTCACTATCGTCTTTTGTTTTGTAGTTACGTGCTTTCTTTATTAAAGTCATCATGTTCACTCAACGCGCTGCGTATTGGTCTGCTCCCTTTATAGACGATCGTGACAGAAAAACCCACCTTAAAAGGACCAAGCAGCGTGTCAAGCGGCAACAGGACCTACCTACACAGGATTTATGGACGCCTCCAAAGGATTCATGGACATGGGAGGAGATACGGGCTGGAAAGGGTCCTTGGGCACAACCGGGAGAATATCGCCGCCCTCGTGAAGAGCTGGAGGCAGCTAAAGCCGAGAGGAGGTGGTATGAGGAGGCAGCACGGAGTCGAGGCTGGAAGCCCGTGGGTACTACCCAAACATTTCTTGGGGGGGGGCTTAAAGGGAGTGTGGCGAAGTCAGGTAGGAGACCTGCGCCTACTCCCTGGACTTACCGTGGAGAGCGAGAGTACGGGCAGACACCGTGTTACGCAGTAGAGCGCATGGTGTCTCCTGTACGCAGGCATAGCCCGGTTCGGTACATTCCAGCTCCACGTATCGGCCGGGCTAGATTGAGCGTTGAGCCGGATGTCATGAAGCCGGCCCAACGCATCAGGCCACCAGTGCGTCTCCTCGGGCCGGCTTACATGGCACCAGCCTTACGCATGGTGTCCCCGGTTCGCCTACATAGCCCGGTGCGGGTTATTCCTCCTTCCCGTACTGGTCGGGCGACGGGGAGTATACAACCAGGTAAGGTTGGGCAGGCTCAGTGCTCAAGGGAGCCAGTACGCCTGCACGGTCCGGTATTTCCGGCGCCACCTCCCCGCTCCAGCCCAGTACCACCAGTGCCTACACCACGCACCAAGCCTCCTGTGTGTCCCCAGAGTCCTGTGCGCCCTGTTGCTGCTCCCCGCACTAGCCCTGAGATGCGTGTCCTCAGCCCGGGACCACCAGTTCCGGCACCACGCACCAGGCCTATAGTGCGTCTCGGCCGGCCAGAGTCTGCCGTCTGCCCAACGGCGCCTGAACTGCCCGTCTGCCCAACGGCGCCTGAACTGCCCGTCTGCCCAACGGCGCTTGAACTGCCCGTCTGCCCAACGGCGCCTGAACTGCCTGTCTGCCCAACGCCGTCTGAACTGTCCGTCTGCCAAGCGCTGCATAAGCCGCCCGTCTGCCATGAGCCTTCAGAGCCGTCCGCCAGACCGGAGCCGCTAAAGCCTTCCGCCAGACAGGATCAGCCAGAGCCTTCCGCCAGACAGGATCAGCCAGAGCCTTCCGCCAGACAGGATCAGCCAGAGCCTTCCGCCAGACAGGATCGGCCAGAGCCTTCCGCCAGACAGGATCAGCCAGAGCCTTCCGCCAGACAGGATCAGCCAGAGCCTTCCGCCAGACAGGATCAGCCAGAGCCTTCCGCCAGACAGGATCAGCCAGAGCCTTCAGCCAGCCATGAGCAGCCAGATCCGTCGGCCAGCCATGAGCAGCCAGATCCGTCGGCCAGCCATGAGCAGCCAGATCCGTCGGCCAGCCATGAGCAGCCAGATCCGTCAGCCAGCCATGAGCAGCCAGATCCGTCAGCCAGCCATGAGCAGCCAGATCCGTCGGCCAGCCATGAGCAGCCAGATCCGTCGGCCAGCCATGAGCAGCCAGATCCGTCGGCCAGCCATGAGCAGCCAGATCCGTCGGCCAGCCATGAGCAGCCAGATCCGTCAGCCAGCCATGAGCAGCCAGATCCGTCAGCCAGCCATGAGCAGCCAGATCCTTCAGCCAGCCATGAGCCGTCCAGCCAGGATCCGCCAGAGCCGTCCAACCAGGATCCGCCAGAGCCAGCCAGCCAGGATCCGCCATTGAGTCCGGTGCTGTCCCTTAGCCCGGTGCTGCCCCTTATCCTGGTGCTGCCCCTTAGTCCGGTACTGCCCCCTTAGTCCGGTGCTGCCCCTTAGTCCGGTGCTGCCCGTTAGTCCGGTGCCGCCCCTTAATCCAGTGGGGTTTAGTTGGGGGGTGGTCATATGGAGGAGGCTACGGAAGCGGATAGTGACTAAGGTGGGGTGGGGACCACGACCAGGGCCAGAGCCGCCACCGTGGACAGACGCCCACCCAGACCCTCCCATAGACTGTATGCTGGTGCGCCCGGAGTTCGCACCTTTAGGGGGGGGTACTGTGACACTCTGGCTCCGGGACTTTTATATTTGAGCCAGGGTGTATTTGTTTTGTTGGGTTTTGGTTTGGTTATGTTGGGTTTTGGGTGTATTTCTATGTTTGCAGTTCTGTGGGGTTTATGTCTAGGTTTGGTCAATGACTCCCAATCGGAGGTAACGAGTGTCAGCTGTCGGCTCGTTATCTCTGATTGGGAGCCATATTTAATCTGATTGTTTTCCTGTGGGAATTGTGGGTTTTTGTTCCAGGTTCAGTATTTTGTCACTGTTGGACTTCACTATCGTCTTTTGTTTTGTAGTTACGTGCTTTCTTTATTAAAGTCATCATGTTCACTCAACGCGCTGCGTATTGGTCTGCTCCCTTTATAGACGATCGTGACACCCCCCCCCCAAGCCAACTTTAGCAGCAATTACAGCTGCAAGTCTCTTGGGGTATGTCTCTATAAGCTTGGCACATCTAGCCCCTGGGAATTCCGCCCATTCTTCAAGGCAAAACTGCTCCAGCTCCTTCAAGTTGGATGGGTTCCGCTGGTGTACAGCAATCTTTAAGACATACCACAGATTCTCAATTGGATTGAGGTCTGGGCTTTGACTAGGCCATTCCAAGACATTTCAATGTTTCCCCTTAAACCACTCAAGTGTTGCTTTAGCAGTATGCTTAGGGTCATTGTCCTGCTGGAAGGTGAACCTCCATCCCAGTCTCAAATCTCTGGAAGACTGAAACAGGTGTACCTCAAGAATTTCCCTGTATTTAGCGCCATCCATCATTCCTTCAATTCTGACCAGTTTCCCAGTCCCTGCCGATGAAAAACATCCCCACAGCATGATGCTGCCACTACCATGCTTCACTGTGGGGATGGTGTTCTCAGGGTGATGAGAGGTGTTGGGTTTGCGCCAAACATAGCGTTTTCCTTGATGGCCAAAAAGCTCAATTTTAGTCTCATCTGACCAGATTACCTTCCATATGTTTGGAGGAGTCTCCCACATGCCTTTTGGCGAACACCAGACGTGTTTGCTTTTTATTTCTTTAAGCAATGGCTTTTTTCTGGCCACTCTTCCGTAAAGCCCAGCTTTGTGGAGTGTACGGCTTAAAGTGGTCCTATGGACAGATACTCCATCTCCGCTGTGGAGCTTTGCAGCTCCTTCAGGGTTATCTTTGGTCTCTTTGTTGCCTCTCTGGTTAAGGCCCTCCTTGCCTGGTCCATGAGTTTTGGTGGGCGGCCCTCTCTTGGCAGGTTTGTTGTGGTGCCATATTCTTTCCATTTTTTAAATAATGGATTTAATGGTGCTCTGTGGGATGTTCAAAGTTTCTGATATTTTTTTATAACCCAACCCTGATCTGTACTTCTCCACAACTTTGTCCCTGACCTGTTTGGAGAGCTCCTTGGTCTTCATGGTGCCGCTTGCTTGGTGGTGGCCGTTGCTTAGTGGTGTTGCAGACTCTGGGGCCTTTCAGAACAGGTGTATATATACTGAGATCATATGACACTTCGATTGCATACAGGTGGACTTTATTTAACTAATTATGTGACTTCTGAAGGTAATTTGGTTGCACCAGATCTTATTTAGGGGCTTCATAGCAAAGGGGGTGAATACATATGCAGTCACCACTTTTCCGTTATTTATTTTTTAGAATTTCTTGAAACAAGTTTTTTTTCATTTCACTTCACCAATTTGGACTATTTTTTGTATGTCCATTACATGAAATCCAAATACAAATCCATTTAAATTACAGGTTGTAATGCAACAAAATAGGAAAAAACGCCAAGGGGGATGAATTCTTTGCAAGGCACTGTATCAGGTGTAAATGAACACAGAGGCATACCGTCCACCAGAGAGATGTCTGGGTAAACAAACACCACTTTGCTCCGCTCTCACCCTGGATCTGACAGGCTTTAGAAGTCACAGGACAAATGGCCTCAGTCGCTAAGGGAACAGTAGTTAAACCTTTAGTGTGTGTTAGCATTAGCGTTAGCGCTGACGAGGACATCTGGATGGAGGCGTAGGAGGCCTGTCAAGCCGTGGCGGTTGTGTTCCCTCGTCATGGTGAATCTAAGTGATGTTACTGGGCTTGGCCAGGGCTGTTACTCTTCTCCGTGGAGGAGAAATGGTCATCCCAGCTGACAGCTATTTGGACTGCAATCTTGATAACTAGAGGGGATGGAGTGTGCCGAGAACGCCAGCCGAGTATAACGCCGTGAACCAGCCCAGTAATGTCAGTCTAAACAGACAGACAGACAGACCATGAACCAGCCCAGTAATGTCAGTCTAAACAGACAGACAGACCATGAACCAGCCCAGTAATGTCAGTCTAAACAGACAGACCATGAACCAGCCCAGTAATGTCAGTCTAAACAGACAGACCATGAACCAGCCCAGTAATGTCAGTCTAAACAGACAGGCCATGAACCAGCCCAGTAATGTCAGTCTAAACAGACAGATAGACAGACCATGAACCAGCCCAGTAATGTCAGTCTAAACAGACAGACCATGAACCAGCCCAGTAATGTCAGTCTAAACAGACAGGCCATGAACCAGCCCAGTAATGTCAGTCTAAACAGACAGATAGACAGACCATGAACCAGCCCAGTAATGTCAGTCTAAACAGACAGACCATGAACCAGCCCAGTAATGTCAGTCTAAACAGACAGACAGACCATGAACCAGCCCAGTAATGTCAGTCTAAACAGACAGACCATGAACCAGCCCAGTAATGTCAGTCTAAACAGACAGACAGACCATGAACCAGCCCAGTAATGTCAGTCTAAACAGACAGACAGACCATGAACCAGCCCAGTAATGTCAGTCTAAACAGACAGACAGACCATGAACCAGCCCAGTAATGTCAGTCTAAACAGACAGACCATGAACCAGCCCAGTAATGTCAGTCTAAACAGACAGACCATGTAGCAGAGCTTGGGAGAGGCCACTGCCACGGCCAGATCTAAGAGAGTCTCAGGGTACAGAGGCTCAGTGAGGCAGAGTTAATGCTTCAAACTAAGGTTTTATTTAATAATTGACCAACAGAAATGCTTACAAATAATAAACTTAAAGTATAACTTCAAACAACAAAGGTTATTTTAAACGGATCACCTTTCAGCCCCAACCTGCCTGCTGCTGTCTCCAGTCCTCTCCCTCAAATGGGAGCAGCAGCCTAATCAACTGTTGGAGTTGATTGTCCAGCCAATCACACACTTGATTGACTTATGACCCTCAGCTGGGCTCCATTAGCCTCCCAACAGGGAAGGTGCCGGAAGGCGCTGGGAGAGGGCTTGCCTCCTCCAGAGCCACACACCTCCACTAATAATATTTTCTCTTCAGTTCAGTTCTCTATTGCTCCTCAAGCAAGGGGAAGGCCGATGACATCACGTCAGACCATCAGACCTACTCCTTGAAGTTTTTTGCTCAAAACGTATTATTTTACCCTTTAGTGTGTGCACTGTACTGTATTCATACTTCGTATATATCGCTTTTCAACAGTAAAAGTTCAGAAACCGCTGGAGGACGTCTTTTTAAGAATCATGAACAGGACAGTGTAAGGATCCATAGAATTAAACATTAGTCATCCCAGGCTGAGCATGACATTATTTCACAGATGTGACCATTTTCACGTGCTTTTTAATGGCGGGTGTAGACAACAGATGTTAATACCAATGCGGTAACACTTTACTTGACACCCAGAGTCATAACACGGTCATAACCATGTCATAATATGTCATAACAGCTGACATAACGCATCGTAACCTGTTATAATATGGTCATAACACTGTCATGACCTCATATATTTACACCTGTTGTGACATATATTGTGTTATTTTACTACCACAGTATTTATTTTATGGCTGGTTATGACACCTACGTAAGAGTGTCAAAACCCACAAAACCTACCACACAAGGCAGAACATTCCAGTACATCATAGCTTACGTGTCAACAGTATGTTTATGTTCTATATATATTTTTTTTAATGGACCATATTTAAATTATCATTGTAATTGCGCACACATTGATGTGCCCTTACCCCAATGCTCTGTTGCTGATGACTGGGATGAATGCAGGAGCAGATTTCAGGAGCAGGACAAGACACCCTCTTTTTGACTGATGACTGATATACAGTTGAAGTCGGAAGTTTTACATACGCTTAGGTTGTAATCATTAAAACTCGTTTTTTAAACCACTCCACAAATTTCTTGTTAACAAACTATAGTTTTGGCAAGTCGGTTAGGACATTTACTTTATGCATGACACAAGTAATATTTCCAACAATTGTTTACAGACAGATTATTTCACTTATAATTCACTGTATCACAATTCCAGTGGGTCAGAAGTTTACATACACTAAGTTGACTGTGCCTTTAAACAACTTGGAAAATTCCAGAAAATGATGTCATGGCTTTAGAAGCTTCTAATAGGCTAATTGACATAATTTGAGTCAATTGGAGGTGTACCTGTGGATGTATTTCAAGGCCTACCTTCAAACTAAATGACTCTTTGCTTGACATCATGGGAAAATCAAAAGAAATCAGCCAAAACCTCAGAAAATAAATTGTAGACCTCCACAAATCTGGTTCATCCTTGGGAGCAATTTCCAAACGCCTGAAGGTACCACGTTCATCTGTACAAACAATAGTATGCAAGTATAAACATCATGGGACCACGCAGCCATCATACCGCTCAGGAAGGAGACGCGTTCTGTCTCCTAGAGATGAACGTACTTTGGTGGAAAAAGTGCAAATCAATCCCAGAACAACAGCAAAGGACCTTGTGAAGATGCTGGAGGAAACAGGTACAAAAGTATCTATATCCACAGTAAAACAAGTCCTATATCGACATAACCTGAAAGGCCGCTCAGCAAGGAAGAAGCCACTGCTCCAAAACCGCAATAAAAAAGCCAGACTACGGTTTGCAACTGCACATTGGGACAATGATCTTACTTTTTGGAGAAATGTCCTCTGGTCTGATGAAACAAAAATAGAACTGTTCGGCCATAATGACCATCGTTATGTTTGGAGGAAAAAGCTGAAGAACACCATCCCAACCGTGAAGCACGGGGGTAGCAGCATCATGCTGTGGGGGTGCTTTTCTGCAGGAGGGACTGGTGCACTTCACAAAATAGATGGCATCATGAGGAAGGAAAATTATGTGGATATATTGGAGCAACATCTCAAGACATCAGTCAGGAAGTTAAAGCTTGGTCGCAAATGGGTCTTCCAAATGGACAATGACCACAAGCATACTTCCAAAGTTGTGGCAAAATGGCTTAAGGACAACAAAGTCAAGGTATTGGAGTGGCAATCACAAAGCCCTGACCTCAATCCTATAGAAAATGTGTGGGCAGAACTGAAAAAGCATGTGCGAGCAAGGAGGCCTACAAACCTGACTCAGTTACACCAGCTCTGTCAGGAGGAATGGGCCAAAATTCACCCAACTTATTGTGGGAAGCTTGTGGAAGGCTACCCGAAACATTTGACCCAAGTTAAACAATTTAAAGGCAATGCTACCAAATACTAATTGAGTGTATGTAAACTTCTGACCCACTGGGAATGTGATGAAATAAATAAAAGCTGAAATATATCATTCTCTCTACTATTATTCTGACATTTCACATTCTTAAAATAAAGTGGTGATCCTAACTGACCTAAGACAGGGAATTTGTACTACGATTAAATGTCAGGAATTATGAAAAACTGAGTTTAAATGTATTTGGCTAAGGTGTATGTAAAACAGCCCACAGATTATTATGATTATGATGGTCATAATGCTTCATTGTCATGAAGTGTATTTTCTTATTCCAATTTTCTTACTTACAACAACAAAGGATTTAAGAAACAAACTTTCAAACGAAAGGAAACTTCTTGGCAGGGAGAATTAAAAAAAAAAGTGGGTTTTGACACTATTCTGTAGGTGTCATAACCAGCCATAAAATAACACAATATATGTCACAACAGGTGTAAATATGTGGGTCATGACAGTGAAATGACCATATTATGACAGGTTATGACAAGTTATGTCAGCTGTTATGACATAGGATGACGTGGTTATGACCGTGTCATAACGTGTTATGACACTGGGGTGTCAAGTAAAGTGTTACCGTTAATGCCTTGAAGATGACAGGTTGTTAAGTAGATGATGGATAACAATTATTCAATACCATTGGATATAAATATTCCACTTTCCAAAGGTGGTTGATACCAGTATAGCAGGGGTTGCCCAACCCTGTTCCTGGAGAACTACCCTCCTGTAGGTTTTCGCTCCAACCCCAGGTGCTACTAACCCGATTTCATCTTATCAACCTGCTAATTATTAGAATCAGGTGCGGCTAGATTAGGGTTGGAGCAAAAACCTACAGGACGGTAGCTCTCCAGGAACAGGGTTGGGCAACCCTGCAGTATAGGATAACCTGATTACTGTGTAGTACAGTTAATGCAGTATCTATGCTGCTTCAATATAAGCTTCCGTATCCTCATTCATTAGATTATTTACTGTACTATACACCATTAAGAAGATCTATTGAAGCCAAGAGGAGAAAGAAGAACGTGAGAAAGCGAAGCACATATGACGTCTTGCTGAAGTGGTTCAGTTGGCCTGGAGTGAGGATCTCAGTGCGCGTAACCTAGATTCTGGTGGTTGTGGGCCTCAGCAAGGCCCTGGGCTCTTCTGTTCCCCTGCCTTACATAGAGAGGAGGAAGAGGAGAATGAGGAGAAGGAGGAAGAGGAGAAGGAGGAGGAGGAGGAGGAAGGAACTTTATCCTCAACTGGGACCTGATACAGCAGACCTTAGGATTTTTCCTCTCTCTGTCTCTCTCTCTCTCTCTGTCTCTCTCTCTGTCTCTCCCTCTCCCTCTCTCTCTGTCTCTCTCTCTCTGTCTCTCTCCCTGTCTCTCTCTCTCTCCCTCTCTCTCTGTCCTCGCTCTCTGTTCTCTCGCCTGCTCTTCCCTCGCTCACTTTCTCCTCCCCTGTTCTCTCTCCCGCTCTCACTTTCTCTCGCTCTGTCTCTCTCTCTCTCTCTCTCTGTCCTCTCTCACTCTCTCTCTGTCTCTCTCCTCTCCTCTCTCTCTCCCTCTCTCTTTCTCTCTCTCGGTCTCTCTCTTGTCTGTCCTCTCTCTGTCTGTCTCTCTTTCTCTCTGTCTGTCCTTGTCCCTCTCTCTCTCTCTCGCTCTCTGGGGAGGGGGATTTCTCTCTCTTTCTCTCTCCTCTCTCTTCTCTCTCCTCTGTCTATCTCCCTTTCTCTCTTTCTCTCTCTCTGTCTCCTCTCTCTGTCTCTCTCTCTCTCTCCTCTCTCCCTCTGTGCCTCTCTCCTCTCTCTTTCTCTCTCTCTGTCTCTCTCGCCCCTCCTCCTCTCTTTCTCCTCTCTCGTCTCTCCTCTGTCTCTCCTCTCTCTCTCTCTCTCTCTCTCTCTCTCCTCTCCCTCCTCTCTCTCCTCCCCCTCTGTCCTCTCTCTCTCTCTCTCTCCTCTCTCTCTGTCTCTCGCTCTCTCTCTCTCTCTCTCTCTCTGTGTCTCTCTCGCCTCTTTCCCTCTCTCTCTCTCTCTGTCCTGTCTCTCTGCTCCCCTCTCTCGCCTCTCTCCGCTTCTCTCCATCTCTCTCTGTCTCTCTCCCTCTCTCTCTCTCTCTCTGTCCTTCTCTGTCTGTCTCTCTTTCTCTCTGCTCTCTTCTCTCTGTCTCTCTCTCTCTCATCCTCTGTTTCTCTCCTCTCTCTCTCTCTCTTTCTCCATTCTCTCCTGTCTCTCTCCCTGTCTTCTTTTCTCTCTCTCTGTCTCTCTCTCGGTGTCACTCTCTCCTGTATCTCTCTCTTCTGTCTCTCTCTCCCTCCTTCTCTGCCTCTCTCTGCCTCTCTCTCTATCTCGTCTGCCTCTCTCTGCCTCTCTCTCTCTCGCTCTCCCTCTCTCTTCTTCTCTCTCCTCCTCTTTCGCTCCCCTCACCCTCACATCTCTCTAACATCTCCTCTCCATCGCCTCCTTTCTCTTCTCAGGCTCTCTCTCTCGCTGTTCGCTCTGTCGCTCTCTCCTCTTCCCCTCCTTTCTCTCTCGGTCGGTCTCTCTTTCTATCTGTCTGTCTCATCTTTCTCTCTCTCTATCTCTCTCTCTCCCCTCTCTCTCTCTCTTTCTCTCTTTCCTCTCTCCCTGTCCCTCTCTTTCTCTCTCTCTGTCCTCGCTCTCTCGTCTCTGTCTCTCTCTCCCTCTCTCTCTCCCTCTCTCCTGTCTCTCTCTGTTGCTCTCTCTCTCCCTCTCTTTCTCTCTCTGTCTGTCTCTCTTTCTATCTGTCTGTCTCTCTTTCTCTCTCTCTATCTCTCTCTCTCTCCCCTCTCTCTCTCTCTTTCTCTCTTTCTCTCTCCCTGTCTCTCTTTCTCTCTCTCTGTCTCTCTCTCTCCTGTCCTCCTCTCAGCCTCGCCTCTCTCTGCCCTCATCTGTCTCTCTCTCTCCACTCTCTCCTGGTCTCTCTCTGTTTGCTTCCTCTCTCCCTCTCTCTTCTCTCTCGCTCTGTCTGTCTCTCTTTTATATCTGTCTGTCTCTCTTTCTCTCTCTCCTACTCTCTCTCCTCTCACCCTCTCTCTCTCACTTCTCTCTTTATCTTCTCCCATGTCTCTCTTTCTCTCTCTCTGTCTCTCTCTCTCCCTCTCTCTCTGCCTCTCTTCTGCCTCTCTCTGCCCTCTCTCTCTCTGTTCTCTACTCTTCCCTCTGATCTCTCGCCTCTCTCTCTTCTGCCTCCCTCTCTCTCTGCCTCCCTCTCTCCCCCTCTCGCCCGCGCGCTCTCTCTCTAACCTCTCTCTCTCTCTCTCTCTCTCTCTCTCTCTCTCTCTCTCTCTCTCTCTCTCTCTCATCTCTCTCCATCTTTCTCTATCTCTCTCTCTCTCTCTCTCTCTAGTGGAAATGGGATTATCATTAACAGCAACTACAACAACAATATTAATGAGAATAACAATACATTAAAGCAATAGTAGTAGACCAGTCTCAACATGACTGAGAAGACACATGACATGGTATGAAAGCCAAAACAAAACTAAATGGGAAATATTATTGACATTACATTACACTTTTCACTGGCTGTCCCTCAGGTTGTGGCAGGAGGACACATATTTGCCTGCCAAAATTGCACGTATTGGCTTTTCACCCAATAAATATTAAATTTTTAGTTTCAAATTACAATTTTGGGAAAGAAAGATTCTCTTAGGTCTGAGTATTTGTCACAGTGTAATAGGAAATGCAGCTCTGTCTCTACCTCTCCCCGGGGTCAGAGTGAGCACAGCCTGTCCTCTCTGGGCAGCCAGGTTTGCCTGTGACGACCGGTCTCTATAGCCAGACTGTGCTCACTGAGTCTGTACCTAGTCAGTGTTTTTCTCAGTTTTCTATCAGTCACAGTGGTCAGATAGTCTGCCACCATGTACTGTCTGTTTAGAGCCAAATAGCATTGAAGTTTACTTTGATTTTTTGTGGTGTCTTTCCAGTAGCTGATATATTTATTTTTGCTTTGTGATGATTTGGTTGGGCCATATTTTCTGAGTGCTGTCCTGAGGCTCTATGGGGTTGGTTTGGGTTAGTGAAATGAGCCTCAGAACCTGCTGGCTGAGGGGACTCCTCTCTTGTTTCATCTCTTGACATTGTAGGGTTGTGTGATGGAATGTTTTTGGGGTCACTTGTTTTTAGATGGTTGTAAAATCTGATGGCTCTTTTTTCAATTCGAATAAGGAGGGGGTATTGGCCCAAATCTGCTCTGCATTGGTTATTTTGAGTTTTTCTTTGCACTTGCAATACAGTCTTGCAAAACTCTGCATGCAGTATTTTGATTGGATGTTTGTCCCATTTGTTAAATTCATTATTAGAGAGCGTACCCCATACTTCGCTGCCATATAGAGCAATTGGTTCTATAACTGATTGGAACATTTTTAACCATATTCTAATTGGAATTTCGATTTTAATGTTCCTTTTAATGGCATAGAATGCTCTTCTTGCTTTGTCTCTCAGCTCATTCACAGCCGTATGAAAGCTACCTGTGTTGCTGATATTTAGTCCTAGATACGTGTCGTTTCTGGTGTGTTCTAATAGAACTGTGTCCAAATGGAATTTATATTTGTGATCCTGATTTCCTGACCTTTTCTGGTCCGGAGCCCAGGTCTCTCGGTCTCTCGCTCTCTCTCTCTCTCTCCCTCTCTCTCTCTCTCCACCAGAGTAGTGTTAAATAAATCACTCATGGCAGCAGCACCTGGGGGAAAACAGTAAAACCCTAAGCCCCTACACTACTAGACTCCCTGGTTATTGGGGTCAAATTTGTCTCCACTTTTGTGGATTGGGGTGCTCAGTCCCTGGTTCCAAACATTGGGGAAGATGCCAGAGCTAAGGACGATGCCAAAGAGCTCAAGTATAGCCAATTGGAATTTGTGGTCTGTACATTTCATCATTCCATTGAGGATACCATCAACACCACAGGCCCCCTTGGGTTGGAGGGTCTGTTCCCTGTCCTGTAGTTAATTCAATACAACCGGAGAATCCAGTGGGTTCTGGCAGTCTTCACAGTCGACTCCGAGACCTGTATTTGATCATGTATATGTTTTTGCTGTTTGTACTTTGTTACAGGGCCAAAAAGATTGGAGAAGTGGTTTACTCACACATCTCCGTTCTGGATAGACAACCCCTCGTGCTGTTGTTTGCCACGGATTCCTCAACCACACCGAGCTGATTTCTGACATGCTGCTCCCTCCTCCTCCGCAGTGCAGCTCTGTATTGTTTTAGTGATTCACCACGGTGAAGGCGTAGGCTCAGGCCTTCTGGGTCTCCACGTTTCCGGGTTGGATAGGTTTCTCAATTTCTTTCTTAGGTTTTTTGCATTCTTCATCAAACCATTTGTCATTGTTGTTAATTTTCTTTGGTTTTCTGTTAGACATTTTTGAATTTGATAGGGAAGCTGAGAGGTCAAATATACTGTTTTTAGGTTTTCTACTGCCAAGTTTACACCTTCACTATTACAGTGAAACGTTTTGTCCAGGAAGTTGTCTAAAAGGGATTGAATTTGTTGTTTCCTAATTGTTTTTTGGTAGGTTTCTACACTACTTTCCTTCCAACTATAGCATATCTTAATATTATTCAGTTCCTTTGGTTTTGATGCTTCATGATTGAGTATTGCTCCGTTCAAGTAAGCTGTGATTTTGCTGTGGTCTGATAGGGGTGTCAGTGGGCTGACTGAACGCTCTGAGAGACTCTGGGTTGAGGTCAGTGATAAAGTAGTCTACAGTACTACTGCCAAGAGATGAGCTGTAGGTGTACCTACCATAGGAGTCCCCTCGAAGCCTACCATTGACTATGTACAGACCCAGCGTGTGACAGAGCTGCATGAGTTGTGACCTGTTTTTGTTGGTTATGTTGTCGTAGTTGTGCCTAGGGGGGCAAATGGGGGGGAAAATGCTGTCACCTCCAGGTGTGTGTTTGTCCCCCTGTGTGCTGAGGGTGTCAGGTTCTTGTCCAGTTCTGGCATTTAGGTCGCCACAGACTAGTACATGTCCCTGAGCCTGGAAGTATGGTGATTCTAGTGGGGGGATATAGGTAGCACACAGGAGGAAATTTTTCTCTGTTGAGATAATTTCCTTTAGAATTTCTAGTTAAATGTAAAATGTTCCTGTTTTGATTAATTTAATAGAGTGAGTCAGGTCTGCTCTATACCAAATTAGCATACTCCCTGAGTCCCTTCCCTGTTTTATACCTGGTAGTTTGCTGGATGGGACTATCAGCTCTCTGTAACCTAGAGGGCAACCAGTGGGTCCGTCTCCTCTATACCATGTTTCATGTAGGATGACAATGTCTGTATTTCTGATATATTTGGTGAAGTCCAGGTTCCTGCTCTTTAGGCCAAAGGCAGATGACCTCAGGCCTTGGATATTCCAGGATGAAATAGTGAAGGCTTTGTGTTCCATAAAGTGTCCGATGTTGTTAGTCGTGTGGTTTGGCCTCAGACCAGTAAGTGTGAGCAGAGCCTGCTGAGCATCTGGTACATGCCATTGGCTTGGGCTAGTGTAAGAGTGGGGGTTGGGCCTGTTTGCCTGCTCATGGCCTGGGTGTAAATGTGACTTTCATGTTGAGGCCTTCTTTGTGGGAGTGGGGGGCATGGGGTGGGTAGGAGGGGCATAGGTCTGATCTGAGGGGGCCTAAATGGGGTGTGGGCATGGTTGACTTGGGGGGGGGTATTGTTTGGGGTGGGGTGGGGTATGTGGATGTGGCTGGTGGTGCTGTGGTCTGGATGTAGGTCTTCTCGGTGTGGTTCCTCTATGTGTAGGTCTGGGGGGTCCCCGCAGGTCTGGGAGAGTGTCTCGCTCGTCTGGGTGGGGTGTCTGTTAATCTGTTGCTCCTGTGTGAGGTTTTGGGGCTGCGGTTGAGGGTGATGTCCTTTAGGGTCCAGGCGAAGGTGGGCACTGCTGCCTTGTATATGTGGACCTGGTCGTAAATGCTGTTCAAGTCCAGGGTGGAGTGGTGGGCCAGGTAATACTTGCGTTTACCCGCTGTATGGTAGCAGGGTGGAAGTCTTTTCGTGGTAGCAGGGTGGAGATAACCAATTGTGCGTTGGGGAAAGTGGAAGAATCTTTTTCAATCACTCCCTTGAGTGCTGTGTTCTCAGGTTGTTTGTGCCTGTGTGTATTATTATGTGGCCGGGTGATCCTAGTTGGTCCTCAGACAGAAGGTCTAGGGCGCGCTGGGTGTTTGGACACCAGAATTTCTTTATTTTCGTGTATGTATTTCCCGTTTGAGTCCATAAAGAGTACAATCTGTGGCTTGTGTATGTCCTCAGTGGGTGTGGGGGTGTTGTCAGGAGGGCTATCAGGGTGGCTGACAGAGGGGGTGCTCAGAGGGGGTGTGATCCCAATGGGCTTGGGGTTCTTCGTTTGTTTGTCTGGTAGTGATGTCGAGGCTATTGTCAGGGTCTAGGGTGGATTTTTCTGCTGTGGTGTCGAGACTTTGGTCAGGATCTGAGGTGGGTTGTTCTGCTGGCTTCTCTGCGGGGGTGGCCAGCTCTCTAATGGGTTGTTCTCTGTCACCCGTCATCGTTCTCACCTTCTCCTCCAGCACTCTGATCCTCTCCTCTAGTGCTCTGTTCTTCTCCTGCTCCTGCTCTTTCTCCTGTTGATGTTGTCTCACCACAGTCCAGAGTGCAGACATGTCTCTCTCTACCTCCAGCTCTCCAGGTCTAGTTAAGGGGTTGTTGTTGTGCTGGACTGTTGTCTGGGTCTGTGCTGACTGGAGTGTGTTCACCTGCTGTTCCAGCTCCACCTGCCTTACCTCCAGCTGGGTGAATTTATCCTTCATTTCAATGAGGGAGTAGTGCTCTGTGCTGGGAGGTTGACTTTCCGCTTGGGGTTGCTCGTCTGTGGGGTTGTATAATGAAGAGGTCTGGTCTGACCCGCTCGGGGTGGGGGTATCTTTCTTAAGAGAGAGCTTCTCCTGCTGAGCTATTTCTTTGATTAGGTGAAAGTCCAGCTGAAACTGTTTGGGGTTGCCCTGTACCAATACTGTTCCAGACTTGTAGAGATGTATATTGGCTGACTCAGAGTCCTCGTTGTCTAGAATCCTGAGTTTCCACCCATCGCTAACACCCCCCCTCCCCCCTCTTAACAGAGGGCTAGTGTGTTAATATAGCGCTGCGCCATGCCAAGGGATGGTCTGTGTGGAAGATTAAGTTGCTTATGTTCCCATTTTTATAATAGTCAGAAAAAGTGTTTCTGGATTTTCCATAAGGAGGTTATTTCTGTACTCTTTTCGTGCCTTATAATTTTTTACATGAAGAGGGTGCTGTATGCTAATAACCTCTGAGCAGCGGGAGGGAGCTTCAAAGGCCTCTGCATTTGGGTGGGGTAGACTGTGGAACTCTCCTGCCATCGTTGGGCTCAAGGGCTTCGACACCTCTCGCTTCACACCTCAGTGCTAATTGAAGTTGCAGTCAGATACAGCATCTCACACAAGTGAGTACAGCCCTCACATTTTTGTAAATATTTGAGTATATCTTTTCATGTGACAACACTGAAGAAATGACACTTTGCTACAATGTAAAGTAGTGAGTGTACAGCTTGTATAACAGTGTACATTTGCTGCCCCATTAATGTCTAAACTGCTGGCAACAAAAGTGAGTACACCCCTAAGTGAAAATGTCCAAATTGGGCCCAATTAGACATTTTCCCTCCCCGGTGTCATGTGACTCGTTAGTGTTACAAGGTCTCAGGTGTGAATGGGTAGCAGGTGTGTTAAATTTGGTGTCATCGCTCTCACACTCCCTCATACTGGTCACTGGAAGTTCAACATGGCACCTCATGGCAAAGAACTCTCTGAGGATCTGAAAAAAAGAATTGTTGCTCTACATAAAGATGGCCTGGGCTATAAGAAGATTGCCAAGACCCTGAAACTGAGCTGCAGCATGGTGGCCAAGACCATACAGCGGTTTAACAGGACAGGTTCCACTCAGAACAGGCCTCGCCATGGTCGACCAAAGAAGTTGAGTGCACGTGCTCAGCCTCATATCCAGAGGTTGTCTTTGGGAAATAGACGTATGAGTGCTGCCAGCATTGCTGCAGAGGTTGAAGGGGTGGGGGGGTCAGCCTGTCAGTGCTCAGACCATACGCCGCACACTGCATCAAATTGGTCTGCATGGCTGTCGTCCCAGAAGGAAGCCTCTTCTAAAGATGATGCACAAGAAAGCCCGCAAACAGTTTGCTGAAGACAAGCAGACTAAGGACATGCATTACTGGAACCATGTCCTGTGGTCTGATGAGACCAAGATAAACTTATTTGGTTCAGATGGTGTCAAGCGTGTGTGGCGGCAACCAGGTGAGGAGTACAAAGACAAGTGTGTCTTGCCTACAGTCAAGCATGGTGGTGGGAGTGTCATGGTCTGGGGCTGCATGAGTGCTGCCGGCACTGGGGAGCTACAGTTCATTGAGGGAACCATGAATGCCAACATGTACTGTGACATACTGAAGCAGAGCATGATCCCCTCCCTTCGGAGACTGGGCCGCAGGGCAGTATTCCAACATGATAACGACCCCAAACACACCTCCAAGACGACCACTGCCTTGCTAAAGAAGCTGAGGGTAAAGGTGATGGACTGGCCAAGCGTGTCTCCAGACCTAAACCCTATTGAGCATCTGTGGGGCATCCTCAAATGGAAGGTGGAGGAGTGCAAGGTCTCTAACATCCACCAGCTCCGTGATGTCGTCATGGAGGAGTGGAAGAGGACTCCAGTGGCAACCTATGAAGCTCTGGTGAACTCCATTCCCAAGAGGGTTAAGGCAGTGCTGGAAAATGATGGTAGCCACACAAAATATTGACACTTTGGGCCCAATTTGGACATTTTCACTTAGTGGTGTACTCACTTTTGTTGCCAGCGGTTTAGACATAAATGGCTGTGTGTTGTCTTATTTTGAGGGGACAGCAAATGTACACTGTTATAGAAGCTGTACACTCACTACTTTACATTGTAGCAAAGTGTCATTTCTTCAGTGTTGTCACATGAAAATATATACTCAAATATTTACAAAAATGTGAGGGGTGTACTCACTTTTGTGAGATACTGTATACTGTCCTATAGCAAGCTTGGTAGCCTTAACATAGCCTTCAGTCAATATAAAGTAAAATATATAATTGTAGTGTATTTTTCTTCTTGGTTGTAAAAGTAGCTTCAGACTAAACATTACTCACTCAGTTCCAGGTTGGATGATGTTCTCAGGTTTCTGTTGTTTGTTTGGCAGAGCATTTGCTGTATAGATTGGATCTCTGGTAGTAGGAATCCTTCCAGGTAATTTTGTCCAAAATCAGGTTGTAGGTTTGGAGTTTTGATTTGGAGTGAAGGTTATGTTGTGGAGGCTAGTATCCTGTGTATGTCCATGCCGAAAAATCTAAGTTTATCTAACTCTAAATCAATTTTTTTTGTAAAAACATGGCTGAACAATACAGGAGCTCATCTTTCTCTCTCTGTCTCTTTCTCTATCCTCACTGTCTGTCACCAATGGCAACTGTAAAAGTGATTCTAATTATACAGTTGTACACCTCTGTAATGTTAAAGAGCTAAATGACTGAAATGTAATGTAAATGTAAAGAGCCAATGAACATGTCAATTGGCAGTGTGTTTTTCTGTTGCTCATTAGAAAAACAAGATTTCAGTCTTGGATGTGTGTTTCCTGACCGATTCTGCATTTGGTTATTAATTATGTTTGTCCCCCATGAGACACTGTAGACACGGAAGACTATTTCACTTCCTCAAAATCCCCAGAATTAATCTAATAAAACTCAAGAAATCTGTAATTAATTTTGATGTTTTTGCTGTCGAGGTTTTAGTTGAGCAATGTTGCATCTAACTAAGGTGTTTGGTGAGGTGTTTCTCAATATTTGTTTTTGTTATGTGTTGGGCAGGTCTGTCTCACTGTCTATGCTATTGGATTAGAGAGCAATCACCGCAGCTGTTCACCCCATGTTAGTGGGCAAATGGACATCGTCAAATCAAAACCCAACCTTTATTTACCCTTTGTTACGCATTGATGTTCCAAACCCATCTGAAGTGAAGAACCAGGCATCGACAATCATTATTCTCTATCCTTGAAGCTATACTTTAAATTCCACCAGTTAATCCATATAGACTATTATTTGTTATTGGAATCATATTATTACAGCCACTCTACATCATTGCAGTGTTGAATAAACAACATTGTGTATATAAAAACTGACAACACCCACTGTTCAGGGTTTTAATTATGTTTATTGAACTGTCAAGCTCTGGTTTTAAATAAGCATTCACCTGCTGCTCGCCTGCTAACACCACACACACACACACACCACACAACCAACAACGACACACACACACACACACACACACAAAACACATACTCCATCACTACAGTACGCCACAACACACCAAAACTCACAGCACACTCACACTCACACACACACATCACCCACACTCTAACACACACACACATCCACACCCCACACAAACCCGACTTACACCACAGCCACTCTCAACACACCACCGCACACCTCACACACCACCGACAACCACTCTCCGCACACAACACACACACACTCACACTCACTCACACACACACACACTCTCTCACACACACACAAAAAACTCACACAAACACACTCACACACACACACTCCACATACACTCACATTCACACACACTCACACACACACACACACACACACACTCACACTCACACTCACACACACCTGTGTGTTTCTCATCTCACAGTAACAAGACGAGACTTGTGGATGTGTGTTACAGTGTGTTAGAAGAGATGTGTGTGTGTGTGTGTGTGTGTGTGTGTGTGTGTGTGTGTGTGTCATCTGATATTTACGACTCCACAGTTAAATGTAAACTCAAAACACAGCATCATAAGAAGCTAAATGCATCATACAGGGGGATGATTTCTGTATTTTGAAAGTTACATATCTTGAAAACTTGATTGCTGACAAGTAAAATATTTTGGGACTATGTCAACAATGGACTAATGAAACGCATACCAAAAGAAAGTGTGGAGTCATAAATATCAGATTTTGGGCAGAATGTTTTTGGGGTGGGATTTTTCTTTAAGAAAGGATGCTTATTTGTTAATGATTCTACCTTTTCTTTTCTAGATGCTAATCTCAGAGGTCGTCCTGTTTTTGATACAGTGCTCGTCTAAAGAGCTGGACAGTGATGATAAGACCATGCTGACCGGTGACTGCTGCTACCTCAACCCACTGGTGCGCAGGACCTTTCGCTTTCTGGGTACGCCATAGAGTCATTACCATCTAAACAGTAGTCAAATGAATATAATAATAATAATATGCCATTTAGCAGACGCTTTTATCCAAAGCGACTTACAGTCATGCGTGCATACATTTTTTTTTGGTGTATGGGTGGTCCCGGGGATCGAACCCACTACCTTGGCGTTACAAGCGCCGTGCTCTACCAGCTGAGCTACAGAGGACCAATATCCTGTGTTGCTCGACTGGTGTGGTGCTAGCAATGACAAGGTTGTGGGTTCAATTCCTCCAGGAATCACAAACACCACAGGAGGTCGGTGACACCTTAATTGGGGAGGACGGGCTCGTGGTAATGACTGGAGCGGAATCAGTGGAATGGTATCAAATTCATCAAACACATGGTTTCCATGGTTTCCATGTGTTCCAGCCATTATTATGAGCTGTCCTCGACTCTGCAGCCTCCACTGAAACACACATACATCATACATAGACTACTTTAGATAAAAGCATCTGCTTAGTGGCATATATTTCATGAATTAAATCCTCTGTGTTTTGTCCCTAGCCATAGTGCAATGCATGCTGGTTAGCCATGTTGCAATGCCTCTCTGTCTTGTCCCTAGCCATGGTGCAATGCATACTCGGTTGCCATGGTGCAATTCATGAGGCTAGTGGCTCCTCGTATAGAATCACATACTGTCACATGCCCTGAAGGGAATTAATGGACAATACTGAGCCCTGAAGGGAGTGGTATAGTACTGAGCCCTGAAGGGAATTAATGGACAATACTGAGCCCTGAAGGGAGTGGTATAGTACTGAGCCCTGAAGGGAGTGGTATAGTACTGAGCCCTGAAGGGAATGAATGGACAATACTGAGCCCTGAAGGGAGTGGTATAGTACTGAGCCCTGAAGGGAGTGGTATAGTACTGAGCCCTGAAGGGAATGAATGGACAATACTGAGCCCTGAAAGGGAAGTGGTATAGTACTGAGCCCTGAAGGGAGTGGTATAGTACTAGAGCCCTGAAGGGAGTGGTATAGTAACTGAGCCCTGAAAGGGGGGAGTGGGTATAGTACTGACCCTGAAGGGAGTGGTATAGTACTGAGCCCTGAAGGAGTGGTATAGTACTGAGCCCTGAAGGGAGTGGTATCAGTACTGACCCTGAAGGGAGTGGTATAGTACTGAGCCCTGAGGGAGTGGGTATAGTACTGAGCCCTGAAGGGAGTGGTATAGTACTGAGCCCTGAAGGGAGTGGTATAGTACTGAGCCCTGAAGGGAGTGGTACAGTACTGAGCCCTGAAGGGAGTGGTATAGTACTGAGCCCTGAAGGGAGTGGTATAGTACTGAGCCCTGAAGGGAGTGGTATAGTACTGAGCCCTGAGGGAGTGGTATGTACTGAGCCCTGAAGGGAGTGGTAAGTACTGACCCTGAAGGGAGTGGTACAGTACTGAGCCCTGAAGGTGAGTGGTAATAGTACTGAGGCCCTGAAGGGAGTGTGTATAGGGAATGATGGACAGTACTGAGCCCTGAAAGGGAAGTGGTAATAGTACTGAGCCCTGAAAGGGAAGTGGTATAGTAAATTGAGCCCTGAAGGTAGTGGGTATAGTGACTGAGCCCTGAAGGGAGTGGTATAGTACTGAGGCCCTGCATGGAGTGGTATAGTACTGAGCCCGTGAAGGGAGTTGGTATAGTAACTGTAGCCCCTGAAGGGAGTGGTATAGTACTCGAGCCCTGAAGGGAGTGGTATAGTACTGAGCCCTGACGGGAGTTGGTGGTAGTACTGAGCCCTGAAGGGAGTGGTAACCGTACTGATCCCTGAAGGGAGTGGTATATGGGACTGAGCCCATGAAGGGAGTGGTGTAGTACTGAGCCCTGAAGGGAGGTGGGTCATAAGTATTGAGCCCTGAAGGGAGTGGTATAGTACATTGAGAAGCCCTGAAGGGAGGTGGTAGTAGTACTGAGGCCCTGAAGGGAGTGGTATAGTACTGAGCCCTGAAGGGAGTGTTAATAGTACTGAGGCCCTGAAAGGGAGTGGTATAGTACTGAGGGGTGCGTGAAGGGAGGTGGTACTAGTACTGAGCCCTGAAGGGAGTGGTGAATAGAACTGAGCCCCTGGAAGGGAGTGGTATAGTACTGAGGCCATGAAGGGAGTGGTATAGTACTGAGCCTGAAGGGAGTGGTATAGTACTGAGCCCTGAAGGGAGTGGTATAGTACTGAGCCCTGAAGGGAGTGGTATAGTACTGAGCCCTGAAGGGAGTGGTATAGTACTGAGCCCTGAAGGGAGTGGTATAGTACTGAGCCCTGAAGGGAGTGGTATAGTACTGAGCCCTGAAGGGAGTGGTTATAGTACTGAGCCCTGAAGGGAGTGGTATAGTACTGAGCCCTGAAGGGAGTGGTATAGTACTGAGCCCTGAAGGGAGTGGTATAGTACTGAGCCCTGAAGGGAGTGGTATAGTACTGAGCCCTGAAGGGAGTGGTATAGTACTGAGCCCTGAAGGGAGTGGTATAGTACTGAGCCCTGAAGGGAGTGGTATAGTACTGACCCTGAAGGGAGTGGTATAGTACTGAGCCCTGAAGGGAGTGGTTAGTACTGAGCCCTGAAGGGAGTGGTATAGTACTGAGCCCTGAAGGGAGTGGTATAGTACTGAGCCCTGAAGGGAGTGGTAAGTACTGAGCCCTGAAGGGAGTGGTTAGTACTGAGCCCTGAAGGGAGTGGTATAGTACTGAGCCCTGAAGGGAGTGGTATAGTACTGAGCCCTGAAGGGAGTGGTTATAGTACTGAGCCCTGAAGGGAGTGGTATAGTACTGAGCCCTGAAGGGAGTGGTATAGTACTGAGCCTGAAGGGAGTGGATAGTACTGAGCCCTGAAGGGAGTGGTATAGTACTGAGCCCTGAAGGGAGTGGTGTGATAGTACTGAGCCCTGAAGGGAGTGGTATAGTACTGAGCCCTGAAGGGAGTGGTATAGTACTGAGCCCTGAAGGGAGTGGTATAGTACTGAGCCCTGAAGGGAGTGGTATAGTACTGAGCCCTGAAGGGAGTGTGTATAGTACTGAGCCCTGAAGGGAGTGGTTAGTACTGAGCCCTGAAGGAGTGGTAAGTACTGAGCCTGAAGGGAGTGGTATAGTACTGAGCCCTGAAGGGAGTGGTACAGTACTCGAGCCCTGAAGGGAGTGGTATAGTACTGAGCCTGAAGGGAGTGGTAAGTACTGAGCCCTGAAGGGAGTGGTATAGTACTGAGCCCTGAAGGGAGTGGTGTATCAGGTGTAACTGAGCCCTGAAGGGAGTGGTATAGTACTGAGCCCTGAAGGGAGTGTGGTAAGTACTGAGCCCTGAAGGGAGTGGTAAGTACTGAGCCCTGAAGGGAGTGGTATAGTACTGAGCCTGAAGGGAGTGGTATAGTACTGAGCCCTGAAGGGAGTGGTATAGTACTGAGCCTGAAGGGAGTGGTGTAGTACTGAGCCCTGAAGGAGTGGTATAGTACTGAGCCCTGAAGGGAGTGGTATAGTACTGAGCCCTGAAGGGAGTGGTATAGTACTGAGCCTGAAGGGAGTGGTATAGTACTGAGCCCTGAAGGGAGTGGTATAGTACTGAGCCTGAAGGGAGTGTATAGTACTGAGCCCTGAAGGGAGTGGTTAGTACTGAGCCCTGAAGGGAGTGGTATAGTACTGAGCCTGAAGGGAGTGGTATAGTACTGAGCCCTGAAGGGAGTGGTAAGTACTGAGCCCTGAAGGGAGTGGTATAGTACTGAGCCCTGAAGGAGTGGTACAGTACTGAGCCCTGAAGGGAGTGGTATAGTACTGAGCCCTGAAGGGAGTGGTATAGTATGAGCCCTGAAGGGAGTGGTAAGTACTGAGCCCTGAAGGGAGTGGTATAGTACTGAGCCCTGAAGGGAGTGGTTAGTACTGAGCCCTGAAGGGAGTGGTATAGTACTGAGCCCTGAAGGGAGTGGTATAGTACTGAGCCCTGAAGGGAGTGTATAGTACTGAGCCCTGAAGGGAGTGGTATAGTACTGAGCCCTGAAGGGAGTGGTTAGTACTGAGCCCTGAAGGGAGTGGTATAGTACTGAGCCCTGAAGGGAGTGGTACAGTACTGAGCCCTGAAGGGAGTGGTGTAGTACTGAGCCCTGAAGGGAGTGGTGTAGTACTGAGCCCTAAGGGAGTGGTATAGTACTGAGCCCTGAAGGGAGTGGTGTAGTACTGAGCCTGAAGGGAGTGGTATAGTTACTGAGCCCTGAAGGGAGTGTACAGTACTGAGCCTGGTATAGTACTGAGCCCTGAAGGGAGTGGTATAGTACTGAGCCCTGAAGGGAGTGGTTATAGTACTGGCCCTGAAGGGAGTGGTATTAGTACTGAGCTCTGAAGGGAGTGGTGTAGTACTGAGCCCTGAAGGGAGTGGTGTAGTTACTGAGCCCCTGAAGGGAGTGGTGTAGTACTGAGCCCTGAAGGGCAGTGGTACAGTACTGAGCCCTGAAGGGAGTGGTTGTAGTACTGAGCCCTGAAGGGAGTGGTACAGTACTGAGCCCTGAAGGGAGTGGTATAGTACTGAGCCTGAAGGGAGTGGTATAGTACTGAGCCCTGAAGGGAGTGGTATAGTACTGAGCCCTGAAGGGAGTGGTATAGTATGAGCCCTGAAGGGAGTGGTATAGTACTGAGCCCTGAAGGGAGTGGTGGTATAGTACTGAGCCATGAAGGGAGTGGTACAGTACTGAGCCCTGAAGGGAGTGGTATAGTACTGACCCTGAAGGGGAGTGGTATAGTACTGAGCCCTGAAGGGAGTGGTATAGTACTGAGCCCTGAAGGGAGTGGTATAGTACTGACCCTGAAGGTGAGTGGTATAGTACTGAGCCCTGAAGGGGAGTGGTATAGTACTGAGCCCCTGAAGGGAGTGGTACACGTACTGACCCTGAAGGGAGTGGTGTAGTACTGAGCCCTGAAGGGAGTGGTGTAGTACTGAGCCCTGAAGGGAGTGGTATAGTACTGAGCCCTGAAGGTGAGTGGTATAGTACTGAGCCCTGAAGGTGAGTGGTATAGTACTGAGCCCTGAAGGGAGTGGTATAGTACTGAGCCCTGAAAGGGAGTGGTGTTAGTACTGAGCCCTGAAGGGAGTGGTGTAGTACTGAGCCCTGAGGAGTGTATAGTACTGAGCCCTGAAGGAGTGGTACAGTACTGAGCCCTGAAGGGAGTGGGATAGTACTGAGCCCTGAAGGGAGTGTGTATAGTACTGAGCCCTGAAGGGAGTGGTACAGTACTGAGCCCTGAAGGGAGTGGTATAGTACTGAGCCTGAAGGGAGGTGTATAGTACTGAGCCCTGAAGGGAGTGGTTAGTACTGAGCCCTGAAGGGAGTGGTTAGTACTGAGCCTGAAGGGAGTGGTACAGTACTGAGCCCTGAAGGGAGTGGTAGTACTGAGCCCTGAAGGGAGTGGTAAGTACTGAGCCCTGAAGGGAGTGGTATAGTACTGAGCCCTGAAGGGAGTGGTATAGTACTGAGCCCTGAAGGGAGTGGTATAGTACTGAGCCCTGAAGGGAGTGGTATAGTACTGAGCCCTGAAGGGAGTGGTATAGTACTGAGCCCTGAAGGGAGTGGTTAGTACTGAGCCCTGAAGGAGTGTACAGTACTGAGCCCTGAAGGGAGTGGTGTAGTACTGAGCCCTGAAGGGAGTGGTGTAGTACTGAGCCCTGAAGGGAGTGGTACAGTACTGAGCCCTGAAGGGAGTGGTGTAGTACTGAGCCCTGAAGGGAGTGGTACAGTACTGAGCCCTGAAGGGAGTGGTATAGTACTGAGCCCTGAAGGGAGTGGTATAGTACTGAGCCCTGAAGGGAGTGGTATAGTACTGAGCCCTGAAGGGAGTGGTATAGTACTGAGCCCTGAAGGGAGTGGTATAGTACTGAGCCCTGAAGGGAGTGGTATAGTACTGAGCCATGAGGGAGTGGTACAGTACTGAGCCCTGAAGGGAGTGGTAACAAGTACTGAGCCCTGAAGGGAGTGGTATAGTATTGAGCCCTGAAGGGAGGTGGTATAGTATTGAGCCCTGAAGGAGTGGTATAGTACTGAGCCCTGAAGGGAGTGGTGTAGTACTGAGCCCTGAAGGGAGTGGTATAGTACTGAGCCCTGAAGGGAGTGGTATAGTACTGAGCCCTGAAGGGAGTGGTACAGTACTGAGCCCTGAAGGGAGTGGTATAGTATTGAGCCCTGAAGGGAGTGGTACAGTACTGAGCCCTGAAGGGAGTGGTATAGTACTGAGCCCTGAAGGGAGTGGTGTAGTACTGAGCCCTGAAGGGAGTGGTATAGTACTGAGCCCTGAAGGGAGTGGTATAGTACTGAGCCCTGAAGGGAGTGGTATAGTACTGACCCTGAAGGGGAGTGGTATAGTACTGAGCCCTGAAGGGAGTGGTATAGTACTGAGCCCTGAAGGGAGTGGTATAGTACTGACCCTGAAGGTGAGTGGTATAGTACTGAGCCCTGAAGGGAGTGGTATAGTACTGAGCCCTGAAGGGAGTGGTATAGTACTGACCCTGAAGGGGAGTGGTATAGTACTGAGCCATGAAGGGAGTGGTATAGTACTGTATATAGCACCTCTTCTATGCTCTCACGCCAAAGTGGTTATTTTAGATAAGACTACAGCCCCAAAGTATTATCACCCTGATCCTTGAGGGAATACACTCCTCTCTCTCTCTCTCTCTCTCTCTCTCGCTCGCTCGCTCGCTCGCTCGCTCGCTCTCGCTCTCTCATTCAATTTAAGGGCTTTATTGGCATGGGAAACATACGTTAATAAATAATAAAAAAAAAAGTGAAATAAATAATAAAAAGTGAACAGTAAATATTACACTCAAACAAGTTCAAAAAGAATAAAGACATTTCAAATGTCATATTATGTCTATTTACAGTGTTGTAACGATGGGCAAATAGTTAAAGTACAAAAGGGAAAATAAATCAACATAAACAATGGTTGTGTCTGTTCTTCACTGGTTGCCCTTTTCTTGTGGCAACAGGTCAGAAATCTTGCTTCTGTGATGGCACACTGTGGTATTTCACCCAATAGATATGGAAGTTTATCAAAATTGGATTTGTTTTCAAATTCTTTGTGGGTCTGTGAAATCTGAGGGCAATATGTGTCTCTAATATGGTCATACAGCTCAGTTTCCACCTCATTTTGTGGGCAGTGTGCACATAGCCGGTCTTCTCTTGAGAGCCAGGTCTGCCTTTCTCAATAGCAAGGCTATGCTCACTGAGTTTGTACATAATCAAAGCTTTCCTTAAGTTTGGGTCAGTCACAGTGGTCAGGAATTCTTAATGCAGAGTCTCAATTTGGTGTTTGTCCCATTTTGTGAATTCTTGGTTGGTGAGCGGACCCCAGACCTCACAAACATAAAGGGCAATGGGTTCTATAACTGATTCAAGTATTTTTAGCCAGATTCTAATTGGTATGTCAAATTTTATGTTCCTTTTGATGGCATAGAAGGCCCTTCTTGCCTTGTCTCTCAGATCGTTCACAGCTTTGTGGAAGTTACCTGTGGCGCTGATGTTTAGGCCGAGGTATGTATCGTTTTTTGTGTGCTCTAGGGCAACGGTGTCTAGATGGAATTTGTATTTGTGGTCCTGGCAACTTGACCTTTTTTGGAACACCATTATTTTTGTCTTACTGAGATTTACTGTCAGGACCCAGGTCTGACAGAATCTGTGCAGAGGATCTAGGTGCTGCTGCTCCTTGGTTGGTGACAGAAGCACCAGATCATCAGCAAACAGGAGACATTTGACTTCAGATTCTAGTAGGGTGAGGCCGGGTGCTGCAGACTGTTCTAGTGAACTCGTCAAGTCGTTAATATATATGTTGAAGAGGGTGGGGCTTAAGCTGCATCCCTGTTTCACCCCACGGCCCTGTGGAAAGAAATGTGTGTGTTTTTAACCGCACACTTGTTGTTTGTGTACATGGATTTTATAATGTCGTATGTTTTTCCCCCAACACCACTTTCCATCAATTTGTATAGCAGACCCTCATGCCAAATTGAGTCAAAAGCTTTTTTGAAGTCAACAAAGCAGGAGAAGACTTTGCCTTTGTTTTGGTTTGTTTGTTTGTCAATTAGGGTGTGCAGGGTGAATACGTGATCTGTCGTACGGTAATTTGGTAAAAAGCCAATTTGACATTTGCTCAGTACATTGTTTTCGCTGAGGAAATGTACAAGTCTGTAGAGCACGGCGCTTGTAACGCCAGGGTAGTGGGTTCGATCCCCGGGACCACCCATACACAAAAAATTAAAATTAAAATAAAAAATAATGTATGCACTCATGACTGTAAGTCGCTTTGGATAAAAGCGTCTGCCAAATGGCATATTATTATTATTATTATAATGCAGAGGATTTTCCCAAGGTTGCTGTTGACGCATATCCCACGGTAGTTATTGGGGTCAAATCTGTCTCCACTTTTGTGGATTGGGGTTATCAGTCCTTGTCTCTCTCTCTCTCTCTCTCTCTCTCTCTTCTCTCTCTCTCTCTCGCTCTCTCCTCTATTCTCTCTCTCTCTCTTCGCTATCTTCTCTCCTCTCTCTCTCTTCTCTCTCTCTCTCTCTCTCTCTCCTCACAGCTGTCAAACCCTCCATTTACTGTAATATGTATTTAATGTTCTGAGCTTTCTGTTGCAGCTAATCCTCTCTTTTCTCACTGTACACAATATGTATGAATTAAAGGTTGCTTTAATTTACATCATCTAAAAACCACACAGGATGTTAAACGGATTACTTAGTATAACTGGACAACATTGTTTTAATAAGACTCTGACAGTAGGCCACTGCTGTTATGTTGATTTTACATTTTAGTTCTGCAGATCATGTCTGCCCCAGTAGCCAGCAGAAGCCACCACCGGCTGTACAGGTATAGATGACGGAGCTCACTAGAGGGATTTGTGTCTGTCTGAGGATCTAAAGGCCTTTATCAAATGGGATCAGATGGGGGGGATACTACTTTCACCTAAGCCTCCCTAGCAGACTGCAGTGTGAAGGTGGGGGTCATTTCAACACAGGCCAAAGACAGCTGCCTGCAGAGCATTGTAGTGCACCAGCACTGCACCTCTTCAACCCATTACAGGTTAACAAAGACAGAGGTACTATATCACAGAGATATAGCATCCTTTTATTGTCTCTAGTTCTATAATGATACGGTCCTAGCTACACTGGAACCTTCTGATTGTGAGAGACAGTTAGTGGGGCTATATATGGGGAGGCTGGGTGGGTAAAGTCTGGATGAGCCATTGCACCTGCACCTTTGATCTCACACCAGAGCCTTTTCCTATTGCTGCAGTCTGATGCAGTGAAACCTCAGTTCCTCAGTCAGCATCTACCCATCCAGCCTCTACCCACCCAGCCTTTACCCACACAGCCTCTACCCATCCATTCTCTACCCATCCAGCCTCTACCCATCCAGCCTCTACCCATCCAGCCTCTACCCACCCAGCCTTTACCCACACAGCCTCTACCCATCCATTCTCTACCCATCCAGCCTCTACCCATCCAGCCTCTACCCATCCAGCCTCTACCCATCCAGCCTCTACTCATCCAGCCTCTACCCACCCAGCCTCTACCCATCCAGCCTCTACCCACCCAGCCTCTACCCATCCATCCTCTACCCATCCAGCCTCTACCCACCCAGCCTCTACCCACCCAGCCTCTACCCACCCAGCCTCTACCCATCCAGCCTCTACCCACCCAGCCTCTACCCATCCAGCCTCTACCCATCCAGCCTCTACCCACCCAGCCTCTACCCACCCAGCCTCTACCCATCCGTTCTCTACCCACCCAGCCTCCCCATACAGCACCAACCCACCACACACCACACCCAGATCACAGAAAATGGGATCAATTACTCTAAAAAGGGATGACCTTTGAAGCTTTTGTTTTTTGATTGAATATTGAACATGGGACATTTTATTACATTTATCTGCTTAATAAGAGTAGGATTTCCCCCGTCTAAGGAGCCAGCTAAGTAATTATTTCGCTAAATCCCATACTTTGCCTTTCCACAGACAGGCGACCCACCCGGCTTATTTGTGCTGCTGCTAAGTGGAACATTGTCAGGCTAATGACTTCTGAAATCTACTGCCAAATACTTACCTGAGTCTTACCTGAGTCTTACCTGAGTCTTATCTAGTGAGTCGCTGTTGAAATAATCCATCTGACAGAAGTAAAAATCAGTCCGTCAGCATCTACTGTCACCCCCTCCTCTCCTCTCGTCTCTTCCCATCTCTTGTCTCACCCCCTCCTCTCATCTCTTCCCATCTCTTGTCTCACCCCCTCGTCTCGTCTCATCCCATCTCTTGTCTCACCCCCTCCTCTCATCTCTTCCCATCTCTTGTCTCACCCCCTCCTCTCATCTCTTCCCATCTCTTGTCTCACCCCCTCGTCTCTTCCCATCTCTTGTCTCACCCCTTCCTCTCGTCTCATCCCATCTCTTGTCTCACCCCCTCCTCTCGTCTCATCCCATCTCTAGTCTCACCCCCTCCTCTCATCTCTTCCCATCTCTTGTCTCACCCCCTCCTCTCGTCTCTTCCCATCTCTTGTCTCACCACCTCCTCTCGTCTCTTCCCATCTCTTGTCTCACCCCCCTCCTCTCGTCTCTTCCCATCTCTTGTCTCACCCCTCCTCTCATCTCTTCCCATCTCTTGTCTCACCCCCTCCTCTCGTCTCTTCCCATCTCTTGTCTCACCCCCTCCTCTCGTCTCATCTCTTGTCTCACCCCCTCCTCTCGTCTCATCCCATCTCTTGTCTCACCCCCTTCCTCTCGTCTCATCCCATCTCTTGTCTCACCCCCCTTCCTCTCGTCTCATCTCTCCTTCCCTTTAATAAAGAATACAGAAGATGAGAAAGCAGTGACTGGAATGTAAAAACAAGGGAGAGGGAGACAAAACAGAATGCCACTCAACATTAATGAAACCTTTCGTCTCTGTTCCTCCAGCTAAGTGGGCTTCAAAGCTGAAAGTCACATTAAGATGCAGAGACACAGAGTCCGACTTCTGCGAGAGCACCAGCCTCTGTCATATGGACACATTAATAAACGGCTAAAGAAATGAGAGCATGGTACTCAGAGATAGCCTATGGGCCAATGCAGCAGTATGCCTTTTAACTTCCATTGTCAACTAAGTAAAAATACATAAAGCCGACAAATTAAACCAGTATAAAATATCCTGATGAAAAATTCTGGTTCTTTCAATCACATCAAATCAATCAACTGGGTTTGGCCTGAAGCTGTCTCCATTGAACTTGCAAATATGTATCAACTAGCCTATTTCGGGTCCTCAGAGTTTCCCGGACCAGTGAGCTCGGGACAGACAGCTGTTTTTTTTCCTTTATCTGATGACGTTTCCACTGGATATGGGAACATCAGATGTCTCTGTCTCTCTCTGTCTCTCTGTCTCTCTGTCTCTGTCTCTGTCTCTGTCTCTCTCTCTCTCTCTCTCTCTCTCTCTCTCTCTCTCTCTCTCTCTCTCTCTCTCTCTCTCTCTCTCTCTCTCTCTCTCTCTCTCTCTCTCAGCTGTCAAACCCTCCATTTACTGTAATATTTATTTAATGTTCTGAGCTTTGTGTTGCAGCTAATCCTCTCTTTTCTCACTGTACACAATATGTATGAATTAAAGGTTGCTTTAATTTACATAATCTAAAAACCACACAGGATGTTAAACGGATTACTTAGTATAACTGGACAACATTGTTTTAATAAGACTCTGACAGTAGGCCACTGCTGTTATGTTGATTTTACATTTTAGTTCTGTAGATCATGTCTGCCCCAGTAGCCAGCAGAAGCTACCACCGGCTGTACAGGTATAGATGACGGAGCTCACTAGAGGGATTTGTGTCTGTCTGAGGATCTAAAGGCCTTTATCAAATGGGATCAGATGGGGGGGATACTACTTTCACCTAAGCCTCCCTAGCAGACTGCAGTGTGAAGGTGGGGGTCATTTCAACACAGGCCAAAGACAGCTGACTGCAGAGCATTGTAGTGCACCAGCACTGCACCTCTTCAACCCATTACAGGTTAACAAAGACAGAGGTACTATATCACAGAGATATAGCATCCTTTATTGTCTCTAGTTCTATAATGATACGGCCCTAGCTATCTTGGAACCTTCTGATTGTGAGAGACAGTTAGTGGGGCTATATATGGGGAGGCTGGGTGGGTAAAGTCTGGATGAGCCATTGCACCTGCACCTTTGATCTCACACCAGAGCCTTTTCCTATTGCTGCAGTCTGATGCAGTGAAACCTCAGTTCCTCAGTCAGCCTCTACCCACCCAGCCTCTACCCACCCAGCCTCTACCCACCCAGCCTCTACCCATCCATTCTCTACCCACCCAGCCTCTACCCACCCAGCCTCTACCCATCCATTCTCTACCCATCCATTCTCTACCCATCCAGCCTCTACCCATCCAGCCTCTACTCATCCAGCCTCTACCCATCCAGCCTCTACCCACCCAGCCTCTACCCACCCAGCCTCTACCCATCCAGACTCTACCCACCCAGCCTCTACCCATCCAGCCTCTACCCACCCAGCCTCTACCCACCCAGCCTCTACCCACCCAGCCTCTACCCACCCAGCCTCTTCCCATCCATTCTCTACCCACCCAGCCTCTACCCATCCATTCTCTACCCATCCAGCCTCTACCCACCCAGCCTCTACCCACCCAGACTCTACCCACCCAGCCTCTACCCATCCAGCCTCTATCCACCCAGTCTCTACTCATCCAGACTCTACCCACCCAGCCTCTACCCACCCAGTCTCTACCCATCCAGCCTCTTCCCACCCAGCCTCTACCCCACCCAGCCTCTACCCACCCAGCCTCTACCCACCCAGCCTCTACCCACCCAGCCCTACCCATCCAGTCTCTACCCATCCAGCCTCTACCCACCCAGCCCTCTACCCACACAGCCTCTACCCATCCAGCCTCTTCCCACCCAGCCTCTACCCACCCAGCCTCTAACCCACCCAGCCTCTACCCACCCAGCCTCTACCCATCCATTCTCTAACCCATCCAGCCTCTACCCACCCATTCTCTACTTACCCATCCAGCCTCTACCCACCCAGCCTCTACCCATCCATCCTCTACCCATCCAGCCTCTACCCACCCAGCCTCTACCCACCCAGCCTCTACCCACCCAGCCTCTACCCACCCAGCCTCTACCCACCCAGCCTCTACCCACCCAGCCTCTACCCATCCATCTCTACCCATCCAGCCTCTACCCACCCATCCTCTACCCACACAGCCTCTACCCCATCCACCTCTCCCATCCAGCCTCTACCATCCAGCCCTCTACTCATCCAGTCCTCTACCCACCCAGCCTCTACCCACCCAGCCTCTACCCACCCAGTCTCTCTACCCCACCCAGCTCTACCCCACCCAGCCTCTACCCACCCATCCTCTACCCCACACAGCCTCTACCCACCCAGCCTCTACCCATCCAGCCTCTACCCATCTAGCCTCTACCCATCCAGCCTCTACCCACCCAGCCTCTACCCATCCATTCTCTACCCACCCAGCCCTCCCCATACAGCCTCTACCCACCCAGCCCTCTAACCCATCCATTCTCTACCCACCCAGCCTCCCCATACAGCCTCTACCCACCCAGCCTCTACCCATCCATTTCTCTACCCACCCCACCTCCCCATACAGCACCAACCCACCACACACCACACCAGATCACAGAAAATGGGATCAATACTCTAAAAAGGGATGACCTTTGAAGCTTTTGTTTTTTTGATTGAATATTGAACATGGGACATTTTATTACATTTATCTGCTTAATAAGAGTAGGATTTCCCCCGTCTAAGGAGCCAGCTAAGTAATTATTTCGCTAAACCCCATACTTTGCCTTTCCACAGACAGGCGACCGAACCCCGCTTATTTGTGCTGCTGGCTAAGTGGAACATTGTCAGGCTAATGACTTCTGAAATCTACTGCCAAATACTTACCTGAGTCTTACCTGAGTCTTACCTGAGTCTTATCTAGTGAGTCAACTGTTGAAATAATCCATCTGACAGAAGTAAAAATCAGTCCGTCAGCATCTACTGTCACCCCCTCCTCTCCTCTCGTCTCATCCCATCTCTTGTCTCACCCCCTCCTCTCCTCTCGTCTCTTCCCATCTCTTGTCTCACCCCCCCTCCTCTCGTCTCATCTCATCTCTTGTCTCACACCCCTCCTTCTCCTCTCGTCTCATCCCATCTCTTGTCTCACCCCCCCCCCTCTCGTTCCCCTTCCCATCTCTTGTCTCACCCCCTCCTCTCCTCTCGTCTCTTCCCATCTCTTGTCTCACCCCCTCCTCTCGTCTCATCCCATCTCTTTTCTCACCCCCTCCTCTCGTCTCATCCCATCTCTTGTCTCCCCCCTCCTCTCATCTCTTCCCATCTCTTGTCTCACCCCCTCCTCTCGTCTCTTTCCCATCTCTTTTCTCACCCCCCTCCTCTAATCTCGTCTCATCCCATCTCTTTGGTCTCACACCCTCTACGTCTCAGCCAATCTCTTTCTCACCACATCAATCTGTCTCTTCAATACTCTTTGTTCACACCCTCTATCGTCTCATAAAATCTCGTGTCTCACCCCCCTCCTCTCGTATCATTCCACATAATTTGTATCAACCCCTAATCTCATCTCTTCCCATCTATGTTTCTCACAACCCCGATAGTCTATTCCCATATCTTTGTCCAACACCCTCCGTACTCCTCTCGTCTCATCCCATCTATTGTTTTGCACACACTCATCTCGTCTCATCCCATATCTTGCTCACACCCTTCTCTCGTTTATCATCAAATATTAGTCCAACACTCTCTCATCTCTTCACAGCTATTGTATACCACATACAATCTAGTCCTGACCATCTCTGTCTCAACCCTCATCTCGTATCTTCACATCTCTTGTCTCCACACTTCTCTAGTCTCATTCCACATTCATCTATTGTCTAACCCCACTACTTGTTTCTCATCCCATCCTCTTGTCGTACACCCAAATACTCTCGCGTCTCATCCCATCTCTTATCACCCCCTCCTCTCGTTCTATATCTACTTCCATTTAATAAGAATACAGAAGATGAGGAAAGCAGTAGTGACTGGAATTGTAAAACAAGGGAGAGGGAGACAAAACAGCAGCCACTCAACATTAATGAAACTTGTCTCTGTTTCCTCCAGCTAAGTGGGTTCAAAGTGAAGTCACATACGATGCAGGAGAACGAGTCCGACTTCTGCGAGAGACCAGCCTCTGCATATGGACACTTAAAAACGGCTAAAGAAATGAGGAGGATGTCTCAGGAGATAGCTATGGTCAATGCATCAGTATAGCCTTGTAACTTCCAATTGTCAACTAAGTATTAAATACATAAAGCAGAACAAAATTAACCCAGTATAAAAAGATCCTGATGAAAAACTTTGGTTCTTCAATACCATTCAAATCAATCAACGGGTTTGGCCGAAGCTGTCTCCATTGAACTTTGCAAATATATATCAAACACTAGCCTATTTGGGTCCTCAGAGTTTCACGGACCAGTTGAGCTGGACAGGACAGCTGTTTTTTTTCCTTTATCTGATGACGGTTCCATGATTATCGGGAACCTTCAGATGATTAATTTTGCCTTTCACAAAGAGGGATCGGTGATTATCGAGGCCGGAGAGTGTTGGAAGATTTTTCAAATTTAGGTGAGAAACTGTTACATCGCAAAGGATGTTACAGAAACAGACTAATTGTACTTACTGTGTGGGTGAAGAAACATTCAGGAGAATATCAAGTTAATTAGAGTCATTATCTCTCTGTCGCTCTATCGCTGCTATATTATATCCTATCTGATCTATATACTATATGTCTCCTAGATGATCTCTGGAGGTAGCTCGAGCTATAGAGATCGCTATTAGAGAGCGAGTCGCGTTATGCGAGTGGAGATAGCTCCTCTCTTATCTCGAGAGCGAGTCTCTCTCCTCTCCTCTCTCTCTCTCTCTCGCTCTCTCCTATCTCTCTCTCGGTATATCTCTTCTTCTTATCAAATTTCATTTTCAATTTCAATTTTCAATTTAATGGCTTTATGCATGGGAAACGTGTGTTACATTGCCAAAGCGAAGGGAAGAACGTAGATAGTAAACAAAAGTGAAATATAAACAATTAAATAGGAAACAGTAAAAAACATGATACTCAGAAGTTGGTCAAAAGATAAAGACATTTCAAATGTATATTATGTATATATACAGGGTTGTAACAATGTGCAAATTAGTTAAAGTACAAATGGGGAAAATAAAAAAAAATACATCTCTCTCTCTCTCATATATCTCTCTCTCTCTCTATCTCTCTCCTCTCTATGTATCTTCTTCTGTATCTCTCTCTCTCTCTCTCTCTCTGTCTCTCTCTCTCTGTCTCTCTTTCTTTTTTCTCTCCTCTCTCTTCTCTATCTGTCTCGCTCTCTCTTTCTCTCTTCTCTCTCTACTCTATCTCTCTCTATCTCTCTCTGTCTCTCTCTGTCTCTTCTCTGTCTCTCTCTCTCTTCTCTCTCCTCTCTCTCTCTCTCTCTCTCTCTTCTCTCTCTCTCTCTCTCTCTCTATCTCTCTCTCTCTCTCTCTCTCCAGGAGTATACAAGTTTTAGCCTCTATCGCCCCCTTTATCCAGGGTCCAGTTTTTCAAAAGTTATCTTTCTGGATTTCACCTATCGGATATTTCTATCCATTTAATCCTATCCGATAGGCAAAATCCAGATAACTTTTGAAAAACTGGACCCTGGCGTGTACACGTTCAGCCTCTAACCAGTGTATATCTCCCCCTCTATCCAGGCATCTACACGTTCAGCCTCTAACCAGTGTCTATCTCCCCCTCTATCCAGGCATCTACACGTTCGGCCTGTTCACCGTGGACATCTTTGTGAATGCCGGCCAGGTGGTGACGGGGAACCTGGCCCCCCACTTCCTGACGGTGTGTAAGCCCAACTACACGGCCCTGGGCTGCCAGAACGGCCTGCGCTACATCAGCCACCAGGAGGCCTGCACCGGGAACCAGGAGGATATCCTGCGAGCACGCAAAACCTTCCCCTCCAAAGAGGCCGCGCTCAGCGTCTATGCAGCCCTCTATCTTGCGGTGAGTAAGGAACTAAAGATTAGCAGGAACCAAAGATGTTAAGTGAGTTGGCTCTGTTACAACTACTAACTAACGGAACATAATAACTGGAGTAATGTTTCCATACTGACGATATGTGCAGAATAGTAGTAGGCTTTATGACATTGCAGACATCCCTAAGGAAATCTGGAACATTCTATGAGGGACAGCCTTGATAACGGACCTTTAAAGACTGAGTTAGTAGGCCCAATAGATGCCTGTCTTGAATGTGCTGCTATTCAGCTGCTTCTTTGATGGCTATGATGAGATGTGGAGAACGCTGCGCAATATATCCTGTTAGTCTTTAAACCTCTATAATCTGTTTAATAATACCTGTCAGATTGGGCTAGACTCTCGTTGTCTTGAAATCTTGTTTTCGTATTTTGGACTCTGGATTGAAGTCGCTGCCTCATTGATCGAAGAGTGTCTGGTGGTGAGATGCAATTGGTTGAAGATTTCACATTAACCAATAATTAACGTAAACACATTTAGCATCTCCACCCCTCCACGCATACAAGCCACATACAAGCCGCTGATGTGAGCCTTTGGAACATCTACATTAAAAAAGTATTATAAATCAATAAATAATACACCATCACAATAAATGCATTATTTATTTTAGGCTGGTCTAAAGAAACATTATGATACGAAGAAAATGTATTTCAGAAGAACAGAATATGAGTTGGCCTACTGTATGTTATCTGGCTATGCTCCATGCCATAGGCTGTAGGCTTGTTCATTTAGCAGACAAGATACGCTTGTAATCCTGTGCCATTCTTTTATATTATATGATTTTATAGTAAGAAGAATACAATTCAACTTCAAATATAAATATATTTTTCCCATTCCGGAGGGAGTGTGCATATGAAGTGGCTATGTTGAGTATAAAATTGATCAATTAGAGTTATTTGGTCACTTTAGTTGTGAATGATACAAACCTTAGAATGTCTTAGAAATGAAAACATATTATGGGCTGCATGGTGCGACTACAGGCTATTGATGATTTGAGAAAGTCACAAGAAAAGCTTGCGCTCTGTTCCTCGCCTCAGGCTACACACGCTTCTCTCTCATCAAGTGATCAGATTTTCACCCGTCAGACTATTCTCAATTGAATCTTGTCTTTACTAATATGTCAAATTAGTTTAGATTTAGAATGGCCCATTATCAAATGGGCAGGAACAGGGGCAGGGGAAAATGGCTTGTCATCTGTATGCACTTAATAGTGAATGAAGGCCGCTTTCCCGCCTGTTAGTTTTTCAATCATGCTACTCCGGTTATTTCATTCCACGCATCAACCACTGTTTGAGGAGCATGCAGCCACTCGCTGTGCGACAGGTGATATTCTGCCCAAACTCTGTATGCCATGGGCTCTCCAACCCTGCTCCTGAAGCTACCCAGTGCTTAATTTGGGAAACCAAGTGAACTCTATTCGGGAACATTGATAGTAACATGTTTTCGCAACTAAACATATGTATTTCATTAAACTGTTAACAGCACGTTCTAGAAAGGAATAAAGGAGAGAGAGAGAGGAGATGGAAACGCATGGTGGTGAGATATTCTGTATAGCTAAAGGTAATGTCACCCAATTAATTATGAAAATATAAAAAATGTTCTATTACTAGGCTATTTAAAATCAAATACAAATTCACTATAATTGTAGGTTAACTCTGTAAACCGCCCTGCATAATCAATGAACCAACAGCATGGCCTAGGCCTTCTCTCCCAGACTCATGGATATTTACATTTACATTTATGTCATTTAGCAGACGCTCTTATCCAGAGCGACTTACAGGAGCAATTAGGGTTAAGTGCCTTGCTCAAGGGCACATCGACATATTTTTCACCTAGTCGGCTCGGGGATTAGAACCAGCGACCTTTCGGTTACTGGCACAACGCTCTTAACCACTAAGCTACCTGCCGAGTAGCCGTGAGTTTGGAGCGCGGCATAAGGTAACCAGTCCATCCAGTATGCATAATAATAATACAGTCCACATTCAAATACGATTGCTACAATCTGTTTAATTCTGGAGTATAGGCTAGACCCCTTACTTTAATGTTTTTCTGCCAGGTGTAACATGTGGTAGGCTATGTATTGTATAAAGGCACACTCATTTTCGATTGGATTTACATTGATGTCAGAGTGGTTAGAGGGACAATAGAGCCCTGAGTACCAGGCCATTAGGACCTGATGGTTAGAGGGACAATAGAGCCCTGAGTACCAGGCCATTAGGACCTGATGGTTAGAGGGACAATAGAGCCCTGAGTACCAGGCCATTAGGACCTGATGGTTAGAGGGACAATAGAGCCCTGAGTACCAGGCCATTAGGACCTGATGGTTAGAGGGCCAATAGAGCCCTGAGTACCAGGCCATTAGGACCCGATGGTTAGAGGGACAATAGAGCCCTGAGTACCTGGCCATTAGCGACCTGAAGGTCGTTAGCGAGTTGGGTGCTACCAACGCATGTTCTGAGTGCATAAGAGGAGATTACCGAGACTCAACGGTCACGTGAAATTTTACTGAGTTCATTTACAGTCATTTAGCAGACACTCTTATCCAGAGCAATTTACAGTCAGTGAGTGCATACATTATTATTATAGTTTTTTATTTTTCATACTGGACCCCCGTGGGAATCAAACCCACAACCCTGGCGTTGCAAACGCCATTCTCTACCAACTGAGCTACATCCCTGCCGGCCATTCCCTCCCTCCCTGGGACGACACTGGGCCAATGTGCGCCGCCCCATGGTTCTCCTTGTCGCGGCCGTGCTACGATAGAGCCTAGATTCGAACCAGGATCTCTAGTGGCACAGCTAGCGCTGCGATGCAGTGCCTTAAACTACTGCGCCACTCATGACTAATGACTGCCGGTGTGGTGGTAATACGGTCACCACAACAGCCCTAGTAACGGTAGATAATATGGTAACTGTAGATATGGTAACTGTAGATAAAATGGTAACGGTAGCTATGGTAACTGTAGATAATATGGTAACGGTAGATATGGTAACTGTAGATAAATGGTAACGGGGGGCCAGTATAAAAACTAACTGTAAGTCGCTCTGGATAAGAGCGTCTGCTAAATGACTAAAATGTAAATGTAAAATGTAGATGGACTTTTCCAAGTCTCTGAGCTGTTCTGCTGGAGTAGTATGTAGACTCACCTGCACTAGCCTGACTAGCCTGCAGTAGCCTGACTAGCCTGCAGTATCCTGCACTAGCCTGACTAGCCTGCAGTAGCCTGACTAGCCTGCAGTAGCCTGCAGTAAGCCTGACTAGCCTGCAGAAGCCTGACTAAATGCAGTAGCCTGCTGAGCCTGCAGTAGCCTGACTAGCCTGCACTAGCCTGACTAGCCTGCAGTTAGCCTGACTAGCCTGCAGTAGCTGACTAGCCTGCAGTAGCCTGACTAGCCTGCAGTAGCCTGACTAGCCTGCAGTAGCCTGCAGTAGCCTGACTAGCCTGCACTAGCCTGACTAGCCTGCAGTAGCCTGACTAGCCTGCAGTAGCCTGACTAGCCTGCAGTAGCCTGACTAGCCTGCACTAGCCTGACTAGCCTGCAGTAGCCTGACTAGCCTGCAGTAGCCTGACTAGCCTGCAGTAGCCTGCAGTAGCCTGACTAGCCTGCACTAGCCTGACTAGCCTGCAGTAGCCTGACTAGCCTGCAGTAGCCTGCAGTAGCCTGACTAGCCTGCAGTAGCCTGACTAGCCTGCAGTAGCCTGACTAGCCTGCAGAAGCCTGACTAGCCTGCAGTAGCCTGACTAGCCTGTAGTAGCCTGACTAGCCTGCAGTAGCCTGACTAGCCTGCAGAAGCCTGACTAGCCTGCAGTAGCCTGCAGTAGCCTGCAGTAGCCTGACTAGCCTGACTAGCCTGACCAGCCTAACTAGCCTGACTAGCTTGCAGTAGCCTGACTAGCCTGCAGTAGCCTGACTAGCCTGCAGTAGCCTGACTAGCCTGCACTAGCCTGACTAGCCTGCAGTAGCCTGACTAGCCTGCAGTAGCCTGACTAGCCTGCAGTAGCCTGCAGTAGCCTGACTAGCCTGCACTAGCCTGACTAGCCTGCAGTAGCCTGACTAGCCTGCAGTAGCCTGCAGTAGCCTGACTAGCCTGCAGTAGCCTGACTAGCCTGCAGTAGCCTGACTAGCCTGCAGAAGCCTGACTAGCCTGCAGTAGCCTGACTAGCCTGTAGTAGCCTGACTAGCCTGCAGTAGCCTGACTAGCCTGCAGAAGCCTGACTAGCCTGCAGTAGCCTGCAGTAGCCTGCAGTAGCCTGACTAGCCTGACTAGCCTGACCAGCCTAACTAGCCTGACTAGCTTGCAGTAGCCTGACTAGCCTGCAGTAGCATGACTATCTTGCAGTAGCCTGACTAGCCTGCAGTAGCATGACTATCTTGCAGTAGCCTGACTAGCCTGACTTGATCCCCCTGGCTGCCTGCGTTTGGAATCCAGATGAGCAGACAGGCAGACAGGCAGACAGAAAGACAGACAGGCAGGCAGGCAGGCAGACAGCTAGACAGGCAGGTGCAGGCAGGAAGGTGCAGGCAGGCAGGTAGGCAGACAGCTAGACAGGCAGGTGCAGGCAGGCAGACAGCTAGACAGGCAGGTGCAGGCAGGCAGGCAGACAGCTAGACAGACAGGCAGTCAGACAGCTAGACAGCTAGAAAGCTAGACAGGCAGGCAGGTGCAGGCAGGCAGGCAGCTAGAGCGGCAGGCAGGTAGGCAGGCAGGTGCAGGCAGGCAGGCAGACAGTTAGACAGGCAGGTGGAGGCAGGCAGGCCGACAGCTAGACAGACAGGTGCAGGCAGGCAGACAGCTAGACAGGCAGGCAAGGACATTCAATTTTTTATTCGAAGGCACACTTAACCAGCATGGCTACCACAGCATTCTGCAGCGATACGCCATCCCATCTGGTTTGCGCTTAGTGGGACTATCATTTGTTTTTCAACAGGACAATGACCCAAAACACACCTACAGGCTGTGTAAGGGCTATTTGACCAATAAGGAAAGTGATGGAGTGCTGCATCAGATGATCTGGCCTCCACAATCACCCAACCTCAACCCAATTGAGTTGGTTTGGGATGAGTTGAACCGCAGAGTGAAGGAAAAGCAGCCAACAAGTGCTCAGCATATGTGGGAAGTTCAAGACTGTTGGAAAAGCATTCCTCATGAAGCTGGTTGAGAGAATACCAAGAGTGTGCAAAGCTGTCATCAAGGCAAAGGGTGGCTACTTTGAAGAATCTAAAATATAAAATATATTTTGATTTGTTTAACACTTTTCTTGGTTACTACGTGATTCCATATGTGTTATTTCATAGTTTTGATGTCTTCACTATTAAAAAATAAAAATAAAGACAAACCGTTGAATGAGTAGGTGTGTCCAAACTTTTGACTGGTACTGTACATTATGAGATTATTATGGATAAGAGCGATATTATTTGTTTTTGTTAAATGGCAGCCAAGCATCCATCATCATATCACCAGAATAAAACCCTTGAGATTTAATGGAAAGGAGCATCAAGCTCATCACTTTGCACATTCACCACCCTGTAAGGTTCATCATAACTTATTTAATCTGTAGCCTAATAAACTGCATGCTCCATTTGCTCTGTTCCGGCCATTATTATGAGCCTCCACTGTGGTTATTATATAAATAATTTCTCGCATAATTAATTTTACAGACACAAAAAGATCCCACCATGTAGAACGAACAAATTCTCTGTCAGCATTTATAAAATTGTACCCGCATTTCATGTTTCCATCAGCCCAGTTGTGACTTTATTTTCATCTGCATGAAAACGTTGGATGGAAATTTGGTTTGTATCACGTTTCTTTTGTCTTTTTTCGAAGAAGAAATCTAATGTCCTGACAGAATAATTATTATCCTCTTTAACTGCATTTTCGGCAGTATTTACTTTCACCACTAGAGGATGTTCGACCAATTTCTTGAGGTCTGTACTCTCAAAGTTGTTGACTGTTTTTTTTTGCTTGCCAGTTAGCTAGCAGTTGTCAGCTGTTAGCAGCCAGTTAGCTAGCAGTTGTCAGCTGTTAGCAGCAAGTTAGCTAGCAGTTGTCAGCTGTTAGCAGCCAGTTAGCTAGCAGTTGTCAGCAGTTAGCAGCCAGTTAGCTAGCAGTTATCAGCTGTTAGCAGCCAGTTAGCTAGCAGTTATCAGCTGTTAGCAGCCAGTTAGCTAGCAGTGATCAGCTGTTAGCAGCCAGTTAGCTAGCAGTTGTCAACTGTTAGCAGCCAGTTAGCTAGCAGTTGTCAGCTGTTAGCGGACAATGGCTAGCAGTTTCTTACTGCTAGCGGATGATTGCTATCATCTTTTCAAGTCATTGCTGAATTATTAAATGTAACAAATCAAACATTAAACCTTATAAACAAGTCATGGCAATTCATGGTAACCTCGTAAACAATTTATTTAGACCGGGTGTTTATTTGAAACAGGTGTTTATTTCCTGAAATGTGTGCGCCGTTGCACAGCTATTAAAAGGAACAGGCGGCTATTTGAGACTGAGTTTAATTGAAGTTTTACATTTAACGCTGAAAAGGAAATCATCCACTGACTCCCAGCAGACTAATAAGCCTGTTACTTTATTTTAAAGAGGGATCCTGCTGATTCACCCTACTCACTCCAGAAAGCCTGCTAGTTGAATGATTTGAGGGCGAGAGCCAGTATTAAGCACAGGTAAAATCATATTAGCAGACTGAGGCTGTGTCTGAAACCTTATTCACTATGTAGTGCGCTACTTTTGACCTGGGCACTCTGCAGGAAATAGGGTGCATTTTGGACGCAAACTAGATCTGGAAATATTTTGGGGAGCTGAAAGCGTTACATGGTTAATATATGCAACATCACAACAGATCATGACAAACGTATTGATGACAAACATTGTGCATAAACATACACACAAGACATACTGTATAGCCTACTGGTATACATGTTTGATTCATAGAAATTCAATATTCGTTTTGAATGAATCATCCTCAAGACGAGAGTTTGGAACCTTTAAACTCAGTTTTCTGAAACCAAATTAGACAGCGGGTCATCATGTGTGGCCTCACATCTCGTCACATATCCCTATAACACAATTAGCTCATTAAAAACACTTTAATTAATCTTTCACTCGATCATCTGATTAAAAAAAAAAAATAAATGCTGCCACTTTGTGATTATAAATACGATACACAGCTTCAGAGGCCAAAATCCAAAATGGATTCATAACAGTCTAGCTCATTTGAAGTTTGATGTCACTTCAGATGTTGTTTTGTCTCTTCTTGACATGCCAGGTCGTTTGGTGGATACCCTGCCTATTACAGACCAGACCAGTACTGATCTAGGATCAGGTCTCAGCTGTCCATAAATCTTAGTCATTATGATTTTAAAGGGAAAACTGATCCTAGATCAGCACTCCTACACTGAGTCACTGTGTGAATATGAACCCTGTTCACCACAGTCTGATGGCAGTGTCTTTTCAAAAGGATTCCAGCGTACAGCTACATGGGAATACACTTCACAGATCTAACTCTGTCAGAAGTCCTTATTGTTTAAATCCTCTTAAGGCATCAAGAGTGTAACATTTTTTTTTTTTTTGTAGACTGTTCTTCCTCCACTTGATCCAGATAGTAGATTGGGTCTTTACAGCATGTAGGTCAGTTAGCAGGGCCATTGTTTTGTAGCGGTTAGGGGTTATTAGCATGCTATCTTAAAGAAGATTGTTTTGTAGCAGTTAGCGGTATTAGCATGCTACCGTAAAGCACATTGTTTTTTTAGTGGTTAGTGGTTAGCATGCTCATTTAAAGCACATTGTTTGTTAGCAGTTAGCATGCTATTGTAAAGCACATTGTTTATTTGCAGTAAGCTCCAGTTAGCTTGCAACATTCAAACACATCGTTTGTTAGCGGTTAGCATGCTACTGCAAAGCTTGGTGCATGCTAGTATAAAACAACTGTACTACTGTAAAACAACACATTTCACTGCACCTATATCCCGTGTTTGTGACAATACATATTTTTTTTAAGCAGCACTCTGGAGATTGGGGATTATACATTATCACAGGCTGCTGGTAACATTATCACATGCTGCTGTAACATTATCACAGGCTGATGGTAACATTATCACAGGCTGCTGGTAACATTATCACAGGCTGCTGGTAACATTATCACAGGCTGATGGTAACATTATCACAGGCTGCTGGTAACATTATCACAGGCTGATGGTAACTTTATCACAGGCTGATGGTAACATTATCACAGGCTGCTGGTAACATTATCACAGGCTGATGGTAACATTATCACAGGCTGCTGGTAACATTATCACAGGCTGATGGTAACATTATCACAGGCTGATGGTAACATTATCACAGGCTGATGGTAACATTATCACAGGCTGCTGGTAACATTATCACAGGCTGCTGGTAACATTATCACAGGCTGATGGTAACATTATCACAGGCTGATGGTAACATTATCACAGGCTGCTGGTAACATTATCACAGGCTGATGGTAACATTATCACAGGCTGATGGTAACATTATCACAGGCTGCTGGTAACATTATCACAGGCTGATGGTAACATTATCACAGGCTGCTGGTAACATTATCACAGGCTGCTGTAACATTATCACAGGCTGATGGTAACATTATCACAGGCTGCTGGTAACATTATCACAGGCTGATGGTAACATCACAGGCTGATGGTAACATTATCACAGGCTGATGGTACCATTATCACAGGCTGATGGTAACATTATCACAGGCTGATGGTAACATTATCACAGGCTGCTGGTAACATTATCACAGGCTGCTGTAACATTATCACAGGCTGATGGTAACATTATCACAGGCTGCTGGTAACATTATCACAGGCTGATGGTAACATCACAGGCTGATGGTAACATTATCACAGGCTGATGGTACCATTATCACAGGCTGATGGTAACATTATCACAGGCTGATGGTAACATTATCACAGGCTGCTGGTAACAGCCTTGGTTTCTCAAATGACTGCCTCGCCTGGTTCACCAACTACTTCCCAGATAGAGTTCAATGTGTCAAATCGGAGGGCCTGTTGTCTGGACCTCTGGCAGTCTCTATGGGGGTGCCACAGGGTTCAATTCTTGGGCCGACTCTTTTCTCCGTGTATATCAATGATGTCGCTCTTGCTGCTGGTGACTCTCAGATCCACCTCTACGCAGACGACACCATTTTGTATACATCTGGCCCTTCATTGGACACTGTGTTAACAAACCTCCAAACGAGCTTCAATGCCATACAACACTCCTTCAGTAGCATCCAACTGCTCTTAAACACTAGTAAAACTAAATGCATGCTCTTCAATCGAACGCTGCTGGCACCCGCCCACCCGACTAGAATCACTACTCTCGACGGGTCTGACCTAGAGTATGTGGACAACTACAAATACCTAGGTGTCTGGTTAGACTGTAAACTCTCCTTCCAGACTCACATTAAGAATCTCCAATCCAAAGTTAAATCTAGAATCGGCTTCCTATTTCGCAACAAAGCCTCCTTCACTCATGCTGCCAAACATGCCCTCGCAAAACGGACTATCCTACCGATCCTTGACTTCGACGATGTCATTTACAAAATAGCCTCCAACACTCTACTCAGCAAATTGGATGTAGTCTATCACAGTGCCATCCGTTTTGTCTCCAAAGCCCCATACACTACCCACCACTGTGACCTGTACGCTCTTGTTGGCTGGTCCTCACTACATGTTCGTCGTCAAACCCACTGGCTCCAGGCCATCTATAAATCACTGCTAGGCAAATCCCCGCCTTATCTTAGCTCATTGGTCACCATAGCAGCACCCACCCGTAGTCTACGCTCCAGCAGGTATATCTCACTGGTCATCCCCAAAGCCAACACCTCCTTTGGCCGCCATTCCTTCCAGTTCTCTGCTGCCAATGACTGGAACGAATTGCAAAAATCTCTGAAGCTGGAGACTCTTATCTCCCTCACTAACTTTAAGCATCAGTTGTCAGAGCACCTTACCGATCACTGCACCTGTACACAGCCCATCTGAAATTAGCCCACCCAACTACCTCATCCCTATATTGTTATTTATTTTGCTCTTTTGCACCCCAGTATCTCTATTTGCACATAATCTCTTGCACATCTAGCATTCCAGTGTTAATACTAATTGTAATTATTTTGCACTATAGCCTATTTATTGCCTTACCTCCATAACTTGCTACATTTGCACACACTGTATATATATTTTCTGTTGTATCTTTTGACTTTATGTTTTTTTACCCCATATGTAACTCTGTGTTGTTGTTTTTATCGCACTGCTTTGCTTTATCTTGGCCAGGTTGCAGTTGTAAATGAGAACTTGTTCTTAACTGGCTTTCCTGGTTAAATAAAATATCACAGGCTGCTGCTAGCTAGTTTTTGGAGGGGGGTAGAGCATGGTAATGTTTTATTCGTTTTTGACAACTCATAAGCCGTGGCCCCTGGGAGGGACTGTGAACCCTTGACCTGAGTAGGATAAAGTTTCCCTCCACACACACACACACACACACACACACACACACACACACACACACACACACACACACACACACACACACACACACAACACACACACACACACACACAGACACACACATCACCCCCAACACCATCACCTCCACCATCACCCCCACCACCAACATCACCCCAATACCTTCACCACCACCACCACCATCACCCCCAACTCCATCACCCCAACACCATCACCACCACCATCACCTCACCACCATCACCACCTCACCACCATCACCACACCACCAGACTGAGAGACTGAGAGAGAGACTGAGAGAGAGAGAGACTGAGAGAGAGAGAGAGACTGAGAGAGAGAGAGACTGAGAGAGAGAGACTGAGACACATTGTTACAACACTGTATATATACATAATATGACATTTGAAATGTCTTTATTCTTTTGGAACTTCTGAGTGTAATGTTTACTGTTAATATTTATTGTTTATTTCACTTTTGTTTACTATCTACTTCACTTGCTTTGGCAATGTTAACATACGTTTCCCATGCCAATAAAGCCCTTAAATTGAATTGAAAAATTGAGAGAGAGACTGAGAGAGAGAGACTGAGAGAGAGAGACTGAGAGAGAGACAGAGAGAGCACGAGAGAGAGACTGGGAGAGAGAGAAAAGAGCCGTTAAATTATATAACCACTTAAAAGGAAGCTATTCCCAAACCTTTCATAACAAAGCCATCACCTACAGAGAGATGAACTTGGAGAAGAGTCCCCTAAGTAAGCTGGTCCTGGGGCTCTGTTCACAAACACAAACAGACCCCACAGAGCCCCAGGACAGCAACACAATTAGACCCAAACAAATCATGAGAAAACAAAAAGAGAATTACTTGACACATTGGAAAGAATTAACAAAAAAAAGAGAGCAAACTAGAATGCTATTTGGTTCTAAACAGAGAGTACACAGTGGCAGAATACCTGACCACTGTGACTGACCCAAACTTAAGGAAAGCTTTGACTATGTACAGACTCCATGAGCATAGCCTTGCTATTGAGAAAGGCCGCCGTAGGCAGACCTGGCTCTCAAGAGAAGACAGGCTATGTGCACACTGCCCACAAAATGAGGTGGAAACTGAGCTGCACTTCCTAACCTCCTGCCAAATGTATGACCATATTAGAGACACATATTTCCCTCAGATTACAGCGATCCACAAAGAATTTGAAAACAAACCCATTTTTGATAAACTCCCTTATCTACTGGGTGAAAAACCACAGTGTGCCATCATAGCAGCAAGATTTGTTGCCACAAGAAAAGGGCAACCAGTGATGAACAAACACCATTGTAAATACAACCCATATTTATGTTTATTTATTTTCCCATTTGTACTTTAACTATTTGCACATTGTTACAACACTGTATATATACATAATATGACATTTGAAATGTCTTTATTCTTTTGAAACTTCTGAGTGTAATGTTTACTGTTAATATTTATTGTTTATTTCACTTTTGTTTATTATCTACTTCACTTGCTTTGGCAATGTTAACATACGTTTCCCATGCCAATAAAGCCCTTAAATTGAATTGAAATTGAATTGAGAGACTGAGAGAGAGATTATCACCCTGATCCTTGAGGGAATACACTCTCTCTCTCTCTCTCTCTCTCTCTCTCTCTCTCTCTCTCTCTCTCTCTCTCTCTCTCTCTCTCTCTCTCTCTCTCTCTCTCTCTCTCTCTCTCACCCCCACCCCCACACGTCAATCTCTCACTCTGTGTCTCTCCCTCTCAGGCAGAGCAGGGGGACAGAGCGGTGACAGTTAGTTAGAGAACCCATCCACCAACAGCCCTAAACACAGGGGTTTTACTGTACACGAGGAATAGAGACTCAGCTCCATACAGCCCTCCCTCCCGGGCACAAACTGGTTGAATCAACGTTGTTTCAACGTAATCTGTCAACGTATTGTGTCGTAAACTGTTGTTTTGAGGGTAACATTTCAACCGCAGGATTATGTCATCATGGTAATCATATTTCAACATACACTACATGAACAAAAGTATTTGGACACCTGCTCGTCGAACATCTCATTCCAACATCATGGGCGTTAATATGGAGTTGGTCCACCCTTTGCTGCTATAACAGCCTCCACTCTTCTGGGAAGGCTTTCCACTAGATGTTGGAACATTGCTGCGGGGGACTTGCTTCCATTCAGCCACAAGAGCATTAGTGAGGTCGGGCACTGATGTTGGGCAACTAGGCCTGGCTCGCAGTCGGCGTTCCAATTCAGGGCTCTGTGCAGGCCAGTCAAGTTCTTCCACATCGATCTCGACAAACCATTTCTGTATGGACCTCGCTTTGTGCACGCGGTCATTGTCATGCTGAAACAGGAAAGGGCCTTCCACAAACTTTTGCCACAAATTTGGAAGCACAGAATCGTCTAGAAAATGTCATTGTATGCTGTAGCATTAGGATTTCCCTTCACTGGAACTAAGGGGCCTAGCCCAAACCATGAAAATCAGCCCCAGACCATTATTCCTCCACCAAACCTTATAGTTGGCACGATGCATTCGGGCAGGTAGTGTTCTCGTGGCATCCGCCAAACCCAGATTAGTCCGTCGGACTGCCAGATGATTCATCACTGCAGAGGATGCGTTTCCACTCCTCCAGAGTCCAATGGCGGTGAGCTTTACACCACTCCAGCCGACGCTTGGCATTGCGCATGGTAATCTTATGCTTGTGTGCGGCTGCTCGGCCATGGAAACCCATTTCATGAGGCTCCCGACAAACAGTTATCGTGCTGACATTGCTTCCAGAGGCAGTTTGAGGCTGAATCCACAAATTTGAAGGGGTGTCCACATACTTTTGTATATAGTGTTTTGTATATATTGTATACAATATGTTGAATTTGTACCTTTAAAACAACGTCAGATCTTCAACGTAATATCCAATATCAGAAGAAAATACAATAGACCTCCTACTGGAGAGTTGATCTTTCTACAGCACCTCCTACTGGAGATGAATCATTGATATGTTGCATTCATGTCTCCATCTCAACCAAATATCGAAATTATAGAATAGGACTAAATCAAATTAAACTTTATTTAAAGTGCATTTAAAAGTTTTGATTTGATTTAGTCCTATTGTTTAACTTTGATGGTTGAAATGGAGACATGAATCAAACATATCAATTATTAATTTGTAGACAAACTGGAATTAAAAGCCAGACTAAGTAAGTGGCACAGATGGAACTATCCAAGCGGAAGATAAATTTTCTTTTGAAATGTTGATATTTGGTTGCCTTGACAACCAAACATAATTCAACATTACTTTTGAAATACAATAAGTAGCTTATTGACTTAAATACAAGTGAACATATGATATGATGGATTTACATCTCCAACTCGAGCAAAAATACAAGTTGAAGAATGTCTCAGGTGTACTGTATCTCCCTTGACCTTAAAACGAGTAACACAGCCATGGCCACATTTTGAGATTACTGTAACGATACATGTATTCTTATGTAATCATGTGAAGTGCGCGTGTTTGCAAGATAGCATGCATAATGTCGTCGCAGGTCTGTGGAGATCGCTGTAATAATCTGCACAGAATCTCGAACGGCATTGATGACTTTCACCCATGTACTTTTAATGTAATCTCAACTGCAATCCAGGTCATTTGGTTGTGCTATCAGATGAAGCACAGTGATATCACATTCATCTGTCGTATAATTAAACAACATATCTGATATTGTTTTCCTATTTGAACTTTGCTTTTAAATGGCTGAAAGCTCAGTGACAACTAAACCAAAAACCAGACATTGTTTTTCCATTGGAATTTGGTTCTGCTTTTAGATGGTTGAAAGCATAGTTATAGCACATGGGAAATTCAACTACATTTTGGCTGTCTTTTTGAGTGAGTGAATAAAGTGCATTCGAAAAGTATTCAGACCCCTTGACTTTTTCCACATTTTGTTACGTTACAGGCTTATTCTAAAATGGATTAAATAAATAAAAATCCTCATCAGTCTACACGCAATACCCCATAATGACAAAGTGAAAACAGGTTTTTAGAAATACCTTATTTACATAAGTATTCAGACCCTTTGCTATGAGACTCGAAATTGAGCTCAGGTGCATCCTGTTTCCATTGTTTCTACAACTTGATTGGAGTCCACTTGTGGTAAATTCAATGATTGGACATGATTTGGAAAGGCACACACCTGTCTACATAAGGTCCCACAGTTGACAGTGCATGTCAGAGCAAAAACCAAGCCATGAGGTCGAAGGAATTGTCCATAGAGCTCCGAGACAGGATTGTGTCGAGGCACAGATCTGGGGAAGGGTACCAAAGGATTCTCTGGTGTGATGAAACCAAGATTGAACTCTTTGGCCTGAATGCCAAGCGTCACGTCTGGAGGAAACCTAGCACCATCCCTACGGTGAAGCATGGTGGTGGCAGCATCATGCTGTGGGGATGTTTTTCAGCGGCAGGGACTGGGAGACTAGTCAGGATCGAGGGAAAGATGAACGGAGTAAAGTAAAGAGAGATCCTTGAGGAAAACCTGCTCAGGACCTCAGACTGGGGCGAAGGTTCACCTTCCAACAGGAAAACAACCCTAAGCACACAGCCTAGACACTGCAGGAGTGACTTCGGGACAAGTCTCTGAATGTCCTTGAGTGGCCCAGCCAGAGCCCAGACTTAAACCCGATCGAACATCTCTGGAAAGACCTGAAAATAGCTGTGCAGCTACGCTCCCCATCCAACCTGACAGAGCTTGAGAGGATCTGTAGAAAAGAATGGGAGAAACTCCCCAAATACAGATGTGGCAAGCTTATAGCATCATACCCAAGAAGACTTGAGGCTGTAATCACTGCCAAAGGTGCTTCAACAAAGTACTGAGTAGTAAACGGTCTGAATTCTTATGCAAATGTGATATTTCCTTGTATTTTTATTTTTATTTTTTGCTTTGTCATTATGAGGTATTGTGTGTAGATTGATGAGGGGAAAAATGATTTAATCCATTTTAGAATAAGGTTGTAACGTAACAAAATGTGGAAAAAGTCAAGGGGTCTGAATACTTTCCGAATGCACTGTATAGGTCAGGGGTGTCAAACTCATTTTAGCTCAGGGGCCACATGGAGGAAAATCTATTCCCAAGTGGGCCGGACCGGAAAAATCATGGTATATATAACTTAAAAACAACAACTTCAGATTGTTTTCTTTGTTTTAATACGATCAACATACAACATAAAGCTGGAGCCTGAGGACAGTGTGTCCAAAATAGTACAAGCACAACATCACTATTAATCATAAAACACGTCAAGTTTATTTGAAAATTCTAAAGAAAAAGAACACACAAACATACAATGCCTCAGTGATTAACAGAACTGTTTCATAGATCACAGAACTATATCAGGGTGTCATTTCTCAGGCAGAAATGTAGATAAAAATAATGAAATCCTGTTCCCCAAACAAGTGCAAGAACCACAGAGTCAAGAATAGGTTAAATATACAAATAAAATAAAAACAATTAAAAACAATAGCACATCAACATAAAAACATAAATCTGAAAGCGTTGCTCAAACTCCCGTAACAGTCCCGTTATTTTATCTTTGAACCGCTTCATGTCTGCCACATGTTGGGTCGCGCACACATTTTTCAGACAGGGGAAGTGAGCTGCATCACCACCAGCAAGTTGCGTCTCCCACAATGACAGCTTCAACTTGAAAGAACGTATGCTGTCATAATACTGCGTGACAACTTTGTTGCGCCCTTGCAGCTGTTTGTTCAACATTTTACATTTACATTTTAGTCATTTAGCAGACGCTCTTATCCAGAGCGACTTACAGTTAGTGAATACATATTTTTTTTATACTGGCCCCCCGTGGGAATCGAACCCACAACCCTGGCGTTGCAAACGCCATGCTCTATCAACTGAGCTACATCCCTGCCGGCCATTCCCTCCCCTACCCTGGACGACGCTGGGCCAATTGTGCGCCGCCCATGAGTCTCCCGGTCGCGGCCGGCGGCGACAGAGCCTGGATTCGAACCAGGATCTCTAGTGGCACAGTTAGCACTGCGATGCAGTGCCTTAGACCACTGCACCACTCAGGAGTTCAAGTTATTCAGGTGCTCTGTAACATCCACCATAAATGCAAGGTCTTGCATCCATTCTGCGGAATGAAATTCTAACACTGGTTTGCCCTTTTCTTCCATGAACTGTTCAATTTCTTCTCATAAATCAAAGAAACGCCTCAGCACAGCACCTCGGCTTAACCATCTTACCTCAGTGTGGTATGGCAGGCCATAGATGTGGTCTTTCTCTCTGAGAAGGCTGTCAAACTGACGGTGATTCAGGCTTCTGGATCGGATGAAATTAACAGTTTGGATGACCACCTTCATGACGTTATCCATCTTTAATGACTTGCAACACAAAGCCTCCTGGTGCAAAATACAGTGAAAAGTCAAAAAATCACGTTCTCCATTTGCAGATTGCACTTTCTCTCTGAACTTTGTCACAACGCCTGCTTTTTTCCCGATCATTGAGGGCGCACCATCTGTAGCCAGGCTGACAGCGCGGGACCAGTCCACTCCGACCCTGTCCAGCGTGCCGACGAGTGCGGTAAAAATATCAGCTGCTGTCGTTGTATCTGTCATCGGCACCAACTCCACGAACGCCTCGGTGACGGTCAATGTGTCATCAACTCCGCGGATGAAAATGGCCAGTTTTGCAACATCTGTAATGTCCGTGCTTTCATCAATTGCAACCGAAAACGCAATAAATGACTTTAATTTTTGCTTCAACTGGCTGTCCAAATCCACTGAAAGATCGGAAATCCTGTCTGCAACTGTGTTTCTTGTCAGGCTGATATTTGCAAAAGCCTGTCGCTTTTCAGGGCACACAATCTCCGCTGCCTTCATCATGCATGTTTTTACAAATTCACCCTCACTAAATGGTTTTGAAGCCACTGCGATTTCATTAGCAATGAGGTAGCTAGCTTTCACTGCAGCGTCACTGATGTCTCGGCTGTGAGTAAACACAGACTGCTGTTTCTTCAGACCCGCCAACAGTTCATTCACCTTCTCTCATCTCCGCTGTCCTTGAAAGTTGTCATATTTGTCGGCATGAAGACTCACATAGTGGCGACGAAGGTTATATTCTTTCAGCACTGCAACATGCTCTGAACACACCAAACATACAGCTTTCCCATTCAATTCCGTGAATAAATAGGATGACCATTTTTCTTGGAACACTCTGCACTCTGCGTCCACTTTTCTATTTTTTGACAGAGACATATTGGGGCAATGAGGGTGCCAAAGCACATAATGTTAAAAGTAGAAGCCGTAATAAATATCGCGGGCAAAACAAAGTAGCTCATTGGCTGCACGTGCTTGACCTACTTGCTCTGCCCCGGTATAAACAGTTTGCTTGCTTAACACAATTGCTATTGCGCCATCCAGTGGACGCAATTGGAACAGCAGTTTATTTTATTGAAAAATTGCAGCGCATTTTTATACAAATATTTATATATTTTTTTTTTCCGAAATCATCTCGCGGGCCGGATTAAACCCGTTTGCGGGCCTGATCCGGCCCGCGGGCCGTACGTTTGACACCCCTGGTATAGGTTGTAATCTCATTGATCAACGTCTCAACCAAATATTAACCAATTATCCACGTTGAAATGACGTGGTGTGCCCAGTGGGATGTACCACTCAATGTAGTATTGGCATTCTGAAGAGGGACTATGTTGTCTGTGTTCTATTTACTCTAAAATATGACACCAATGCCTTTGAGTACAATGAAGATGAAATTAGTATTTATTTTTTACTAACTTAATAGATGAGATCAACAGGGATGTGAGGAGATAACAGTATGTTCATTACTATCTTCTAGAGTTACATCACGTGTACAGTGGAAGCCGAAGGGACGCGGCTAGCCAAACCTGTGCTGTCCCTGGGTCTGATGTGTCTGGCCTTCCTCACGGGACTCAACAGAGTGGCCGAGTACCGGAACCACTGGTCTGACGTCATCGCTGGATTCATCATAGGAGTGGCCATCGCCACTTTCCTGGTAAGAACCTGTCCTGCAGCTGCATCACAAACCTCACAATGTACGGTGTGCTAATTTTAGGACAGCCTCGTTCACCAACTCCTAGTGATTCTGACGCTGTCGTAATTTGGACACCGCACCGTTGGGTTGTAGAACCTGGATCAGCATCACTATGGTTGTGTCCAAAAATGGCAGCCAATTCCCCTGGTGGTGGTCCACCTGGGGATCCCTCAATGCTTGGTCCTAGGGCCTCTACTGTCTTGTATCTACAAAGACTGAGCATTCACTTTTAAACGCTAATGACACTCGGCTGTATGTCTCCACAAACACTGACACTGACAATGCCACTGCACTCCTGGTCAGCTGCCTGCAGGACATCAAATGCAGTTGAGTTTCCTGCAGTTAAACTGCAGACACAGGTCGTGCTGATTGGCACTGGCACCATAAGTAACAACAACAGCAGCTACAGGTGTGAAGGTGCTCCCCTCCAGGGAGGTTCTCCACCTGGGTGGGATATTTGACAGTCAGTTCTCGTTTGAGGCCAACATCAAAAGTGTGACCAAAGTTGTATTTTTCCATCTGCGGAACATTGCCTGGTTATGACCTATGCTGTCACAGCCTGCAGCTGAGCGACTCATCCACGCCTTTACAAGGGGATTGCGAAAGTATTCACCCCCTTTGGCATTTTTCCTATTTTGTTGACTTACAACCTGGAATTAAAATTGATTTTTTTGGGGTTTGTATCATTTGATTTACATAACATGCCTGCCACTTTGAAGATGCAAAATATGTTTTATTGTGAAACAAACAACAAATAAGGCAAAAAAAAATGAAAACTTGAGTGTGCATAACTATTCACTACTTTGTAGAGACACCTTTTGCAGCAATTACAGCTGCAAGTCTCTTGGGGTATGTCTCTATAAGCTTGGCACATCTAGCCACTGGGATTTTTGCCCATTCTTCAAGGCAAAATTGCTCCAGCTCCTTCAAGTTGGATGGGTTCCGCTGGTGTAAAGCAATCTTTAATTCATACCACAGATTCTCAATTGGATTGAGCTTCTGGGCTTTGACTAGGCCATTCCAAGACATTTAAATGTTTCCCCTTAAACCACTCGAGTGTTGCTTTAGCAGTATACTTAGGGTCATTGTCCTACTGGAAGGTGAACCTCCGTCCCAGTCTCAAATCTCAGGTTTCCCTCAAGAATTTCATTGTATTTAGCACCATCCATCATTCCTTCAATTCTGACCAGTTTCCCAGTCCCTGCCGATGAAAAACATCCCCACAGCATGATGCTGCCAACACCATGCTTCACTGTGGGATGGTGTTCTCGGGGTGATGAGAGGTGTTGGGTTTGCGGCAGACATAGCGTTTTCCATGATGGCCAAAAAGCTCAATTTTAGTCTCATCTGACCAGAGTACCTCTTCCATATGTTTGGGGAGTCTCCCACATGTCTTTTGGCGAACACCAAACGTGTTTACTTATTTTTTTCTTTAAGCAATGGCTTTTTTCGGGGTACTCTTCCATAAAACCCAGCTCTGTGGAGTGTACGGCTTAATGTGGTCCTATGGACAGATACTCCAATCTCCGCTTTGCAGCTCCTTCAGGGTTATCTTTTGTCTCTTTGTTGCCTCTCTGATTAATGCCCTCCTTGTCTGGTCTGTGAGTTTTGGTGGGCGGCCCTCTCTTGGCAGGTTTGTTGTGGTGCCATATTCTTTCCATTTTTTAATAATGGATTTAATGGTGCTCTGTGGGATATTTAAAGTTTCAGATATTTTTTTATAACCCAACCCTAATTTGTATCTCTCCACAAACTTTGTCCCTGACCTGTTTGGATAGCTCCTTGGTCTTCATGGTGCTGCTTGCTTGGTGGTCCCCCTTGCTTAGTGGTGTTGCAGACTCTGGGGCCTTTCAGAACAGGTGTACATATACTGAGATCATGTGACACTTAGATTGCACACAGGTGGACTTTATTTAACTAATTATGTGACTTCTGAAGGTAAATTGGTTGCACCAGATCTTATTTAGGGGCTTCATAGCAAAGGGGGTGAATACATATGCGCGCACCACTTTTCCGTTATACATTTTTTATAACAAGTTATTTTTTTCATTTCACTTCACCAATTTGGACTATTTTGTGTATGTCCAGTACATGAAATCCAAATAAAAATCCATTTAAATTACAGGTTGTAATGCATCAAAATAGGAAAAACGCCAAGGGGGATGAATACTTTTGCAAGGCGCTGTATATTATCCCGTCTGGACTATTGTAATGCCTTGTTAGTTGTCACATCTGACAAGTGCCTAAGAAAACTACGATATGTCCAGAACTGTGCTGCACGTGTCCTTACCCACACTCCCCCCTGTGAGCACGTCCCTCCAGTGCTGGTCAACCTCCTCTGGCTCCCCATACGCTCACGCATAGACTTTAAAATCCTGGTTCACACCTACCACGCTATCCACAACTCTGGACCCAAATACCTGTCTGACCTCATCCTACCCTCCTGCCCCTCACACAACCTTCACTCCTCCAGGTCCGTCTCCCTTCAGCAGCCCCACAGCAGACTAAAAACGATGGGTGACGGGGCATTCAGTTGTGCGGCTCCTCGGCTGTGGAACACACTTCCAGTCACTGTCAGGGCTGCAGAGTCTCTGGCCTTGTTTAAGGCACAGCTGATCAGAGAAGCTTTCAAGGACCTATGTTAATTCTGTTCTCCTGTCCTCCGGCTCTGATGACACCTGGATATAGATTTGATTGTTGTCTGTGTTTTGGATATTATTATTATTTAATTATTTCAGAGCCTTGGGTGTCAGAAAAGCACTTTACAAATGAAATGAATGCTCTGCATATAGATGCACTTTCCCTTTCAGACTGTAACGTTCCCTCAAATTAGCCACTGGGAATCAATCATGGGCAGAGAGGGAACGTTCTTGGGGACCTTCATGGAGCATTGAGGATCCATCATGGGCAGAGAGGGAACCAATGAGCATGGAGCATTGAGGATCCATCATGGGCAGAGAGGGAACACTGAGCATGGAGCGTTGGGGATCCATCATGGGCAGAGAGGGAACCAATGAGAAATGATCTCAAACGGGAGTTGGCTTCACATTTGCCATGGGGCTGAGAGAAAAATGTCAGTTTCAAAGCAAATGTCCAGCAATTCTACACATGGTTCTTATGCTATCTGAGTGACTCAAACATTATAACTAAATCAATGGTGCCTCATGCCATGACATTTTTGGAATTTCAGATTCTCCCTGACTGTCTAAGTTTGCTGTCAGTCAGAATGCTCATCAGCGTTTCATCTTTCTTCCCTACCCTCGCCCCGCTTGTTAGATATGATGCACGTTGATAGCTTAATATCAAACGTCCTCGCCATGTGAGTTGTCGTAGTAGCAGGCAGCAGCAATCTAAATGATCAGACCCAAAACATGCCAGGAAAAGTGATCGGGTGAAATGATGAAGCGAGTGAATGGAGAAATACAGCTTCACTCTATCCAATCAGAGCAGCAGGATCAACGTACAGCCCGCCCTTCTCTTTACAGACAGGTAAACTAGCCAGTTGAGTTATTTGGACCACATAGAACCTTGCACATGACTGACTCAAAATACAAAACATTATGGGTTAGAAACTCTGTGATTGACATGAGAACAAAGCTCGCCGGCACCCAAAAATTAAAAAAGAATTCTGATCACGGATAATTAAAAAAAATGCTCTAATCACATAATCGTATCCAGAAAATTGCACATATTCCGTTACGACATTCGTACTCTGCACTAACTCTGCACTAACTCTGCACTAACCCTAATTCTCATGATCTTTTCTACATACTGGTTTTAGTTGTTTTTTAAGTTTACACTGAAAATGTTTTACCATCCCGAAAAGTATTTTCCCAAAGAAGTGTTGTCCATGATTTAGCATCGGTGGTGCACCGCTGCTAAAAGCATATAGGGGAAACACTGGTGTTTGCACTTCCACTGTCACTCAACGTCCTGTTCCTGTTCCGCTCTGGAGGGGACTGGGCCATGGGTTTGGTTCTGGGTCTGTAGTCCGATGGAGGCTCATGCGGCTGGGGTTGGAGTGTGGACACATCTCCCTGGGGGTCCCAGATGTCTGACCAGGCATCGACCTGTCCATATCTGTGTACTGTACACAGAATGGGATAGACATCATGTGGATGGTTAGCAGCCATCAGTTGAACTCCATAAGATCCATGTTATGCCATTCCTCTGTTATTCTGATTCACCTCATATCTTCTTCATATGTTTTATGGAGTTTTGTATTTGCTTTCATGCTGCTATATGTGCAGGTGGGCCTCTTTTTGCATCTCTACATACATATGATCATCTGACAGTGAGGGTAGACAGACACAGTCCTCTGAACAACATCCCTGTTCAGCTCAGTTCTTTTCTACTCTACTTCACACCTGTCTATCTCTGTGTACGCTACCAGTTTGTTTATGTTAATGTATTTGCAGGTGTTTTGCAGGTGTGTTGTTTTCTAACACGTGTTAGTGTGTGTGATACGTGTGCAACAGTTCCAGTAATCAGCCTCAGATAAGACGTGTGGGTAGATAATCAGCTCTCTGTCTGTCTGTCTCTCTCCCTCTCTGTCTCTCTGGCTGTTTGTCTCCTCCCCTCTTCTTGGCCTCTCTCTCTCACTTTGTCTGTTGTCTGTCTTTTTCTGTAGGTTTTTTTGTCGGGTCTTCTTCGGGCTGTTTCTTTTGTCTGTCGTCTTTTGGGGCTGTCTGTCTTTTGGGTGTCTCTCTCTCTCCATTCTCTTTCTCCTTTTCCTCTTTTCGCTTTCCCCCTCGTCGTCCCCTTTTTTCTGGGTTGTCGGGTCTTTTGTCTGTCTTTTGTCTGTTGTTGTTTTGTCTTTCTCTCTTTTCTCTTGTCGCTCCTCTTCTCTTTTCTCTCTCTCCTCCTCTTTTCCTCCTTTCTCTTTCTCTGCGTCTCTTTCTGGCTCTCCCTCTGTCGCTTTTATTTTCTTCTCCTCTCTGCTTTTCCTTGTCGCCCCTTTTCTCTACCCTCTCTTTCTTTCTCCTTTTGTTTTTGTCTGTTTTTCTTCTGTTATTGTCTCTTGTTTCCTTTTTTCTTTTCTCTGTTCTTTTTCTTTTTCTCTCTCCCCCTCTTTTTAATCCTCCCCCTCTCTGTCTCTCCCTCTCTTCTCTTCTCCCCCTTTTTGCTTCTCTTTCTCTCTCTTCTCTTCTCTCTCTTTTCCCTCTTTCTTTCTCTTTTTCCTCTCTCTCTCTAGCAGGGGGGGCTGAGATGAAAGGGGAGGGGGGGGGCTAGGCAGGGGAGTAGGATTTTCCCACTCTAGAAGAGACCGATCCTTTAAAGCTAAACCCCACCAAACTGTTGAGTGTTTAAGGGGTTTATCTAAATAGGGCATTACCTTCTTTTTAAAAAACTCCTCCTAGGGCTGTTTAACCCTTTTTGGTTCCTGGCGACAAATTCAAACCCAAAGCTGAAATAGTAGAACCAGGGGTTTGGTATTAGCCCCCCTTTTTGGGATCTCTCCCCTTATACTGCCTTTGGGGGCCCACACCCCCACACACATCGGTTACAGGGGCGGTTTAAGGTTTCAGTTCTCTAATGTGCTTAATGAATTTAAATCAACAAAATTTACTACTATCTCCTTGATAATTGGTGTGTTTTGTTTCTTTTTCCCCCCCATCGGGATTTTCGGGCCCCGCCCGGTCTCAAACCCCCCCAAAGGGTGGTTTAAAAATTTTGGTCAAGGAACAACCCCGGGGGGGGCCAAAAACCCCAAACCTATAAGGGTTTTTTATAACCCCAAGTTGATTTTGACATTTTACCCCCCCTTTGGCAAAGTCCAAAACCCGATTTGAATCCGAAGTCTGCCTTCTTGACCCCCTTTTTGTGGGCCCCCTGTCCGGGGAGGTCAGTATGGGGGGTTTCCTTTCTTTTTAAAAATTTTTTCTTAAAAATTGGGAAAGGGCTTTAGGTAATTGGTGGTGGATTTGGGACAAATCAAGACCTTTTCCGGGGACTATGTGCCCCGGCTAAAGTAACCCTTTTTCCCCAAAACCCCCAAAACCCTCCCCTTTGTCCTCAGTTTCTTCCGGGGATTACCCCAAAATCACACCCTGGAACACAAAACAGTGATGATAGGTCGGGGAGGAGATTTTCCTTAACAGAGGGGACCCCCAGACCTTTGGGGGTTTCCAGTTTTCTCTCTAACTCTGGTTTTGTTCAGGGGTTTGCTTTTTGGTGTTTTCCCTTTTTGCAGTGGGAAAGGGGACCCAGGTTCCCTTTTTTTGTTTTAAAAAGGGAAAAGGGCAGTGACCAAAAAACCCTGATGGGCCCCTTCCCAACGGGCCCTGTTTCCCCGTTTTTTTTTGGGATGGAGTCACCGTCACAGGGTTTTGATGCGTGGGTCCCCTTTCTCCTTTATTTTAAAATGGGGGGAAAAAAAACCTTAAATTTTCCCGGGTGGGGTTAAATAAACTCCCTTTCCCTCACATTTTCTGTTTGGGGGTGCTTTTAAATGTCTATTTCTCCCCGGATCGGTTCCAACTCGGGCATTCTGTAGGCTACCAAACCCCTTTCCCCAAATGGCAAAAACCCCTTTCATCGGGGTTTCTCCTGATGGCATTTAATACTACCCGGGCCCTTTGTACCCCATTTCTTCCTATTCCGGGGGTTTTTTCCCTTTAACCCCTTCTAAATACGTTAACATCAGTATTTCTTTCGGGAAGTATCTAAAAAAAAAAGGTTTAAAACCCCTACCATCTAAATCACCCCCCCTTTTGAACAGTTTTCTGCCCGGGTGTAAATATTCCCACCTCCCCTAAAAAAACTTAGGTAATTTTGGTAATTTTTCACCCAAATTGCCACCCCGGATTTTTTTTTGAAAATTTTCCCCTTGTTTTTTTTATTGCTCCTTCCCATTCCGGGGGTTTTTATGGGGGGCAAAAGGATTTTTCTTTCATTTCAGAATCGTAGACCCAAATAAATTTTTCAACCCTTATTGAAAAAAACACTCATGTTTAGTTCAAACTAAGTTCTCCCCCGGCTCTCCCGGGCTTGACTGAAGACTGATGTTTGTTTCTGACAGGTCCCTACTTTAAAACTTTCAAACCTAACCCGCTTTATGCTTTTAATAATCAAGGGAAAATAGCAAAGGAGAGAAAAAAGGGGTTTTTGCCTGAACTTGCTCCCAACCCTGGCCATTTTTTTCCCCTGTTTGGGGGGGAGGAAGGGAAAGGGAAAAAGGGTCCCTTGCTTTAAATTAATGAAACGTAGGACAGCCAGGGTTCCCCCTTCATTACAAACCTCAAAAATTTTAAACTAAACCCCTGGGCACATTTTTACATGCTTTATTCTTTGCACAATCGGTAAATACCAATACATTTTTACCATCTTACTAACCCCTTTTTTGAAACATGATAAAAATGTCAATCATGCTTTCAAAAAAAAAATCCCAAAATTGTTTATTTAAAACCCTAATAAAAATGGAAAATTAAAATTAAAAAGACAAAATCTGATAATACCCCCCAAATTACTTTATCCCGAAAATTTAAACCAAGGTTAGTACAATGGGCTAAACAAAAGGTTTTCCCTACAAAGGGAAAAACTTTTTCTCTTCGGGTTTTTTTATGGTTTTAAAAAATATTATTACCAAATTTAATCTTCTTCACATTTCACAGTTTTTATAAAAATTTCCCCAAATTTGGGAAAA